AAGCAGGAATATGAAAATAAGCTGCGTTTGTTTAATATTCTTACTTACAAGTAAAACCACGAGTAGCTTTACATTTTTTTTGTGACGCTCTAATTTATAAAATTAGTAATCAACTATTTTATACTTTAAACCCTTCACAAAATATTTTTCTTTTACTTTGACACACTAAAACACATGTGTAAGTTTACAGGGAAATTGATTTTTTTCTTTTATTACATGATTATATGATCATTGGTTTATTATTTGTTTGTAAGTGTACAGAGCTGAAAACTTGTAAATTGTGGATATAGAGAACCAATCAGAGTGTCAGATTGTAGAAACCGAACAGCCAATCAGAAGCCGGGAAATTTTGAAACTTTGCCTGCGATCAAAGAGAAAATTTTCATTGATTGCGGGCAATCCAGCAGGGATATCGAAAAGAAAATCAAAAGCGTCAACAGTGGATACAGAGATTTAGCACTTGAGATTAAGGATATCCAACAGAAGAGTTTTCAGCTCATGGTTGAAAACCTATATTTATATTTTCTTTAATAAAATTACGGTGCAAGGGTACTTATGGTCAGTTCTGGTCAGATTCTATATATTGGGTATAATTAGATCTAATTGTTAAATTGTATTTACATTATTAATATGTTTTGGTATGCACTCAAACATGATGGATCTAATTACCTATTTTTAAGAACAAACAAAAAACAATTTACCGCAATTTGAAGTAAAACATCATGCAAAGATGAATTAGATATCACTGTTTATAATTTTGATTACGAATTATTTTCAACTGTAAGTTCTTGACAAAAGTGACTTGCGCATTCCTCCTGCAGGAAACATTTCGGAATAATTAGAATCGAACACTTTAAACTTAGAATAACGACACTATCTTCCAAAATTTAGATCAGATAAAGTTTTCAATGGTACCATTTTTAATCAAGCATCGCCATCTTTGCATGGAGGGTTAATTGAAATTATGCTTACAGTTCCTTTAAAACATTTAGATTTTCAAAGTATCTATTGATTCTAGAATTTTCTAAGAAACTATTTATGTTTATTCTATTTGATTGCTTCAATAAATTAGACTTAATGGGAGTGACCGGCTATGTAAGGTAGTTGAACTGAGTATGCAGTGTTGTGGAAAATTTCTTTCGGATTCATTTGAGACATTTTAAAGATTTGTAAATCCTGAGTTTGAGTGCAAATTCGACGTTCAAAACTCCTACTTTGGAGGTGGATACGTTTTCAGAATTAGTTTTTGGAAATTATTAATCTGCGAATAAATTCAAAGAAGAAAAAAAATTCAATATAATAATGAAAACGAAATAATCAATTTTAGCATTGATTTATTGACAAATTTCTTTTGAGAAATATGTTCCATAACCATCTCATTAGATTAATGAATAATTTTTACTTTTTTTCGATGTCGTTATTTAATAATTTAAAAAAAACTAACTCTGAAAGCGTATCCATCCCCAAAGTAACTCGAACGTCGAATTTGCGCTCAAACTCAGGATTTACAGATCTTTAAAAAGTTTTATATGTCTCAAATGAATCCGAAAGAAGTTTTCCACAACAATGCATACTCAGTTCAACTACCTTACATAGCAGGTCACTCCCTTTAATAACTTATTTTTTCAAACATCAACATTGAGTTGAGTGACTTTATTTTCTAGATAAATGGTTTCTGAGCCACTAAGCACTAAAAACACGTATTTGTAAATAAATAAATCCATTTCAGAGTTTATTTTCCTTTTTAACAGGCCGTGAGTCAAAAAAAGTGAGATTAGTAGCGTCTGGTGTGAAATTGTACTTTTTTGTGCAACTCTCCTGCATGTTATTTTTTCAATATTTTTGGATTTTGTTTTGATACTCCAATAGCCCCAAAAAAATAAAAAAAATTTCAAAAAATATTGAAAAGATACCATACAGGAAAGTCGCACAAAAAAGGTACAATTTTGCATCAGACGCTGCTAATCACAATTTTTTTACTCACTCTGTGTATTTTCATTATTTCCAATAAATAAAAAATATAAAATAAAAAGAGTAGAGTTCAATTTTACCAGAAGATTAATAGAGCATAGCTATGGACAGCTATTGAATATAAATTAAACATATTTTGGAAAATAAAATATATAGTTTTAAGATGGAAAAATGATAAAAACAATCATTCCTCCCATCTGATAAAAATAAAAAATGTAATTCTTTATCATGAAAGTTGATTATGAGAAGCAGAACAAATGCCCAAACAGGAGGATTAAGTAAAGCACAAATATACTATTGCAAATAAATCTCGTATTTCAATTTTCCAGGCCAGCAATTTTTACATTACAAATTTCTAAAATATCTTTCATTAATGCCGTTCATGAAATTGAGATTTTTAACTTGAAGAACGAACAAAAAGTTATTTTTTAGTTAAGAACAAACAGCTAATTTAAAGTTTGGTAATAGTTAGTTATTTCCACTAACTTTTAACGAACGGTATAGAATATGCCCGGCCCGCCGTCAAATAAGTTTTCAGTGCTTTCTGCTGTAAATTGCAGTACACTGACCGAAGATAAATTAGCCTTTATTGAAGAGTGGACCCTACACCTCTATCTATAATTGTATATTCCAAGAAAAAATGTAAAGATGAATCTACGAATTGAGCCAATATATCTGTATGGAGTAATGAACGTTTACCAACAATTATAGGAAGAGGTAAAAATATAAATATTAGTGTATACACATATATAGACAACCTTCTCAGGTTGCGTGTGAGACGTTTCGTCAATGTATAAAATTTTCCATATGGTTTCTCCTATGTCCATCCATGTTTATATCAATGTGTAGTGTATAATTCATGAATAACATTATTGGCTGTATCTTACATAAATAGCATCATTAGCAGGCTAGACCATCTAGATACTGGTTCCCAATACAAACCCTTTAACAGTCTATATTTTCTTATATTAGTCTAGAGGATAATTGTTGCAAAGAAACATTAACCAAACAATGTTTGGGGAAATCCTATCATAGTATTTTTTACACAGCGAAAATGACGCAAGACAATTTGATCTTTCAAAATCTGAAGGAAATAATAGAAATATTGATTTGGTGAGATTAAATATTAACTTTTTTTTTGAATGGTAAGGGGTTGAGTTTTTTCACAAAATCTGATTTTCTTATTCCTGTCTGAATGAAATCCTATGTCGTAGACCTTAGATAGATATGCTATCAGATCTAATAATCTAAGTTTAAAATACTAGCCTTATAGGGCGCTTCGCGCCCATCTTCTAAATTAATTGTGAACATGTTCTCTTGGTGTACATCGTAAAACAAAACAAATATAATTCGCGGATTTTTCACAAAAAATTTCGTGGATTTTCAAAATTTTCAAAAATTTAATGAAGATCGAATTTAGATGGAGACAAATTTTGAAATTTTGATCATTCATAAACCTTCCCTGGCTTTCCTAATATGGTTGCAAAGATAAAGGCATTATAAAATCAAAGTTTGTGGCAAAGATTCAGTTCCTATGGAATAAAAATAAGCAAAAAAAATCCAGCTGATAATGATCAAGTAACTATACATACAGTTTTAAATAGTAAACTTACCAAGCAAAAGGTTTTATATATATAACAGCGATAAGAAATTAGAAAAGTATGCTACTTAGCTAAATTAAACTTTAATCAAATAGACTTCTCAATTATACCAAGTTTAATTGAATCCATTTACTCGTACTTAATCAAAACTTTTAAAGTTGAAATTTTGTAGATAAACACATAATATCATTATATTGTTATTTTCATTCTTAACATTAGTATTATCATTATTTACTCAACACTCAATTGCTGAGAGAACATTTATAGAATTTAAATTCATTTTTTAATATTCACACAGTGTGGTTCTCTGTTTAATGTCTAGAGTATGACGTTTATATAAAAAATGAATAAATGTTTCACATTTTTGAATTCTTGGCCATTGTGTTTCACACAAATTCAATCTACTCTTTGACGTTTTATAGTTTATTTTTCAACTTTAAAATCATAAATTTACATATCCACGTACTATATTAAAATTTACATATCCACGTACTATATTAAAATTTACATATCCACGTACTATATTAAAATTTAATTTTGCTCCTTTCAAGTTGTTACAAATGTATGTTTATTTCCACTAAAAAGGAAATTTAAGTATTTTTAAAATTTTTCACTGATTTTAAAGACAAATTTTGTTTATTTTAGAAATGTTTTTGTGGAGAGTGCATGGGAAAACATTTAAATGCAGTTAACTTCAATTCTCTTGAGTATAAACTTTTCTTTTCAACAATTGACGAATCATTATAACTAAAAGGAGTCGATCTCAGGAGGTGAAGTTCACCTGACCTCTCTAATATAACAGAGTTGGGTAGGCGGGGGGAGGATCCTAAAGGATTGGCAAACTAACCTAACTAAACTGAACTAAAGATACTATTGCAAATCATATTTTAAATGACAAAAACTAGCAACTTATAGCCAATTAATTGTATATGGAAGTGAGCACTGCAGGTGATGGTAGACAGGACTGAATGTGGATTGTTCATACAACCCTTTCTACATTTTCTATACATTCTCGTATAAAATAACATGAGAGAAAACTACCCGGTTTAGTCAAGGTTGGGAATTTTTGAAATAATTGTATCAAAAAAAAGTTAAATATTGATTAATGAGATAAACACTATTTCTCAGTGAACCGGATCTTGACTGTTTGACACAAAACTTCAAAGTTTGAAATGTCTCAAATATTTTATTGATTTAAAGAAAGGGGGGGGGGGGCATGCTAGAATAAAAAGGCTAATGTAATTTCAGTAGTTGAATTTTCATATAATTTATCTTCATGTATAGATCTTCAGGGAAATACAAAGAAAAGTTTAGCAAAAATTGATTTCAAAATATTCCAGTCTTCAGCTACATTACCTCATTTATGAATTTTAAGATTTGGAATTAGATTTATTCAATTTGTTCAATATCAAAATAATAACTATGAAATTATTTTTGTTGAAAAAATTGTTTTTGTTTTTATTTTTTATTTTGTCAGTAATACAGATCTGCTGATCCCTCTTCACCATCCTTCTTCTCATTACTGTCCACTTCTGCAGCATAATCTTCAGCTTCAGATTCTACTTTAGTTCCAGTAGTGATTGCTCCTGAACCCTTTACAGATGCCATTGCTTGTGATGATGCATTCACAGCACTTGCAAGAGCTTGAGCAGTAGCATTGAAAGCAGTGGCAATGACGTCGGCATTTTTAGTATCTTCCTCAGCAGCTGCATCAGAAGGAGCTTCTTCAGCTGCTTCATCATCAGTTGGTAGATTGTCCACTAGAGCTCTGTTTCCTTTCTGCTGCTCCTCCTGGACCTGTGGAACTTGCTCTTCTGGATTCTCAGGATCTTTTTGGTTGATCAGATTCTCAGCTAGTTCTGCATCATCAGCTTCAGTTCTAAACACTGGAGGCTTCTCATCTTCAGCAGTGTCACTTCGGAATGAAAACTTGCCAAGGTCTTCTACTTCGTCTCCATCACTTCTAAAGGAAAGCTGACTGTCTGTTCCATTTGTTATCAGAGTTTTCAAAACACTCCCTTTTTTCACTATAAAATCATAAAGAATATTAAACAGTTAACATAAAGCTTTTTTGTAAAATTTTTATTTTTTCAAGTGTATGGTTTTTACAAAACATTTCTGTAAAAGAGATTTTTCAGGATATAAAATTTAATTTATTGAGACAAGAACTTCATCAATAATTATTGACCGCAACCTTCTATACCTCACGTAGAAAGAATGATACTACTGAGAAATATAAATGAGAAAAAAATACTATATTTCTTGAAGGAAATTTGAGAAATACAAACCCATAGCAGTAACCAGAAATAGTTTGGGGCTAACCCTCTCAACCAGCAGCAGTATACTGCTTAAATACACTGCTAATTTCATAACTAAACAAACACAGATTATATACAGTGATAATTAGAATACTCTGGAATAGGAAGACGACATTAAAGCAATACTGAAGTTCATATGATGTTGTTACAAAGCAAATTGCTTTACTTGTTAGTTATTAAATAATTAATTATGTAAAATAGGCCTGTTTACACTGCAAAAATGGTGTGCCGCATGATCACTGCAGGACTATCTAAAGTCATAAATTGAGTCTAAAAGTCGACTTCCTATTCCAGAGATTTCTGGTTATTACTGTAGTTAGTTTTTGATGTTGGTTGTATTCAAATGTACACAATAATCATATAATACATTGTACAATGTACAAGATCAATATAAAGACTAAATAAAACATTTCTTTTAATCTTGTTTTGACAGAGTTCTACTGTTGGGAAATAATTTTGTAAAAAAGATTTGAAATCTTAACAAAATATAAAAATCTTTAAATTTTGTAACATTGGTTTACATTGAAGTATTTTGATTTAGAATTCATGATATTTTTTTTCTTCACAGATATGATCACAATTATGTGTATGTAATATGTATGTAAATACCATAAACACACTTTTTGTGACAAAAACTTTAAAATTTTAAGGATATAATTAATTGTCTGTAATCAAGTCAGGAATTTCAAAATTTTCGAACAAATTAAATCATTTCACTAGTTTTCCATTACTCTTAGATAATTGGTTTTAAATTGATCTTTTTATTTTTATAATCTGAAATATTCAAGTATGAATATCTGAATATTAAACTGAACCTGATCACTGATGAATTTGATGAATACTGATGAGTTATGTTCATATCAGGCAAAACAGGGTCAGATTAAATTTCAGGCCCTCAACCTGTCCCAAACTTCAAGCCAAGAGTAAAAATCCTTCCATTTTGCTTGTTTATCAGAGACATTCTTTCTAAAATGTGGTCTTCCTTTTTTGTGTCTTTAAAATTGGCGGAAATATTAAACATTTGAACAGTTTAGTTGATTTTTTATAAAGTGGAATCTGGACCAAACGTATTACTCTCCGGAAAATTTTAACAGTGTTTAAACATAACTTAGGATTGTAGTAGAACGCTGATTTTTTGCACGTGAACTATAAATTACGTATTGTAACTGCAAAATTCAATTTTCTTAAAAATCTGAGCAAAAGTGCGCTCACGCTTTTTGGTGGAAAATGTTACTTTTTTCGCATTTTTGCAATTTCGACACCATGAAATGAACTTGAATTTGCTTCAAGATGCTTTCAAACATGTAATCCCTGAAAAGTTTTGCGCAAAAAAAGCCTCAAATCCCCGCGCTCGCGCGCTTTTTAGAAAATGTGTGAGATTCTTAACTTTTTCAAATTTGGCATTATTCAAAACAAAAATAGCATGCGATACATAATACTACAGGTAAATTGGGACGAGAAATTCATTTCTGTAGTCAAAACAGACATTGGAGAGTTCTGATCGGCTAGCTAGTAGCCAGATCATTCATTATGGGTCATGTTGCCACAAATCTTACATGTCGTATGTCGATTATTAGGTAATAATGCACGGGGATTCTGTTTCTTGGGTAAAAAATGTAGTTTGAGCACTCTGGTCATCGCACTAGTAGCCAGCTATTACGTTTTGTGTCATCTAACCACATATTGAGAGTTGTATGTCAGTTTATAGGTAATTGGGCAGGAGAAATTCATTTTAGATATCAAATGAAATATCGGAGCATTCTGACCGGCGCACTAGTAGCCAGCTATTACCTTGTGGGTCAACTTATCACAGGTTTGCATGTTGTATGTTGAATTATATGTAATTTAGCACCAGGAACTCATTTTTAAGGTCAATATGATTATTTGGACATTTTGGTCGGCGCACTCATAGCCAGCTGTTACGTGGAATTCATTTCTGAGATCAAAACAGACATTCTGACAATCTGACTGGCGCAGAAATACCAAGATATTAAACTATGGGCCATCTTGTCACACATTTTTCGTGATGCATGTCGAAGCCCAGGTAATTGACCATGAGGATTTCATTTCCGAGGTCATAATTAATGTTTGAGCATTCTGACCGACTAGCTAGTAGCCATCTGTACCGTTATGGGTCATCATAGTACAGATTTTTTTAGTTGTTGTATGTCGATTTATAGAAAATTGGGCATGAAGAATTCATTTCAGAGGGCAAAATAAATTTCGGAGCATTCTGACTGGCGAGTCAGCCAGCTGTTACGTTATGGGTCATCTACAGATGTTACATATTATATGTCGATTTATAGAATTTAGGGACGAAGAATTCTTTTTCGAGGTAAAAATAAATATGGTAGCAGTCCGACCGGTGCGCTTGTTGTCAAAATTTAGGTTATGGGTCATCTTACAACAGATTTTATATGTTGTATGTCAATTTCAGGTGATAGGGCACGATTAGTGCATTTTCTTGGTTAAAAATGGAAGGCACCCTCTGATTGACGAGCTAGCAGCCGACCTGCAGCTACCTGTTTTACTAGGTAACTAGATCCAATGATTCAATTTTTTTATGCTAAAAAATAATGTTTGATCATTCTGATTGGCGCGCTGCTGGCAAGTAGGTAGTTATAGGGTCATCTTATCATACAGTGATAACCAGAAAACTTTGGTATAGGAAAACGACTAATGACTAAAGTTATGACTTTAAATATTTCAATGAACATGAGACACAGCAATTGTTTAATGTATTAAAGGATTTACTAAGATACTAGTAACACTATTTGCCTGGTAACAACATCAAATAGATTAAATTATTGCTATAAAACCGTCTTCCTATTCCACGGTTTTCTGGTTATTACTGTAGTTATTCTTGTTGTTTGTCATTTTATAGGTGATTCTACCTGAGGAATTCCTGCTCTCAAACCTAGTTTTTCAGCACGCCAGAATCCATGATATTAATATTGAATCATCTTACTCAAGTTTGCTCGTGCTGTACTAGCTTCCTAACTTGTCAAACTCAAATCAAGACATTTCCCATATTTTCTATTTTAAACATAATGGTTGATTATTTTCAGATTCTATTAATAAGGATTTTAAGAAATCTGAAGATGTTTTTCGTTATATCATGCATTTTGGTCCGGTAGGATGGACCACATTTTATTGTTATTTTACCACTAGTGTTAAATCAGGGTTATTTACCCCAAGACGGATTTCTCTAGTGTGATACCTGGTGCCTAATTACATATAAAATGACATACGACATGTCAAATTTGTGGCAAGATGGCCCATAATGTAACATCTGACTACCAGCGCGCCCATCAGAACGCTCCAATGTCTACTTTGACCAAAGAAATGTATTCCTCGTTCCAGATTACCTTTATCTATAGTTTGATGCATCACACGCTACTTTTGTTTTGAATAATGCCAAAATTAAAACAGTTGGATCGTAAATATTTTCTAAAATGCGCGCGCGGGGAGATTTGTGGCTTTTTTGTGCAAAACTGTTCAGGGATTACATGCTTGAAAGCATTTTAAGGCAAATTCACGTTCATTTCATGGTGTCAAGATTGCAAAAATGCGATAAGTAACATTTTCCGCCAAAAAGCGCGCGCGTACTTTTGCTCGGTTTTTATAAAACTGAATTTGTAGGTACAATACATAGTTTTTAGATCACATGCAAAAAATCAGCGGTCTATGACAATTCTAAATTATGATTAAAGAATACTACTTTTCGGTAATGTTATAATTGTGGTACTACAAAGTTGTTTACGAAATAGTCCCACAGGGAACAAAAACGTTATAGAAGTCGCCATCTAATTTTCATGTTTATTGTGTCTGTCTGTTTTAATTGAATGAACCGATTGGCCCCGATTTTGGCAATCAAATGAAGGTTTGCGGACCATCAAAGTTGAACAATTACGCCTGGAAGAAAGTCAATATTTTTTTTTTTTTGCGCCAATTTAAATAGTTAAATCCACGAAAATTTAAGAATGATTAAAACTACCAATTATCGGATAGCAATTAAGCTGTAAAATTTGTAATAGGAAATTGAGAGCGAAGCACTCGAAAAGCCTTGTAAATGTATTTATTTATCATTTGCTGTTTTAAGTTGACTGGTTTGACATATAGAAGCGAGAGTATATAGAAAAAAAAGAACAAAAACATCAAACCCACAAGCAATACACACAGTATTTTAATTTTCTTTTATTTTCGAGTTTTATTGAATTATTCGAAGATAAGAAAAATTATTTTACTAGTTCATTAAGATTTGTGTGCTGCATTATAATGTTCTATAAAATAATATTCTTTTTTAACCATTTTTTCTAATGTACTATTTGAAATTTATTTTGAAACCTTAAGTATTTAGTTTAGAGGTATACAAATTCAAAAATAAGTGAGCCCAGTAAAGTTAGACTGAGTTTTTTTTTTTTTACTTTTATAGAACAATTTTTGTCAGCTAAAACCCCACATATTTAAAACACTTTTTGGTTTGTTCAACACTATTATTCCTTCTACCACTGGCATTATGAAATTTCAGGATCTGAAACAAAATATAAGGATAACTGCACTTGATGAAATATCAGTATCCTCAATTAAAAATTCAACGACGCGGTTTAGATTTTTTAAATTAAGACGGTTATATTTTAGCGCAATTTTGTAAGAAATAAATAAATCGCGCAAAGGGCTGTATTTTTTCACGCAAAACTAAAGCGTTATGAAAGCAAAATTTTGCGCTCCCTTCCGCAAAAATTGCTTCCTCTAATGTAATCAGTTTCTAGTGCGAGGAAGTGCCCCAACTGTTTTAGATCTAATTTTATAGTTTCAAATTTTACTCATTTTAGAGCAATTCAATTCTTGGAAACAATTTGAATATAAAATGATAATTATTAATTGAAAATAAAGCTTTAAATCAATTATCACACTTTTCCGAATTAAGTAGGAATGTAATATTATTTTTTTAACAGGGCCACAAAAGCTCCACTACTATAGATTAGATTCTGTGCAGATCAAATTCCATAGCAATTCCATAGCAAACTATATAAAGTAAAAATTTATTTGAAATTTACAAAATAAAAACAATTTGTTTAAAAAAGTGGAAAAATACAATTTTAAATAATCACATTTTCAAATCGCAGCACACTATCTTGAATCACCTAAGAAAACATAAATAAAACAATTAAGAATACCAATTTTAATTAATGAATTTAACTCTAACGTTTTCAGTCAAATTCTTGAAGAAGATTAACTATCCCAGAAAACCACGCAAGTACAAGATGAGGAGGAGGATGTAGAAGCAACCTGATAGTAATGATGCTTGTTCTAAGAAGGATTCGGAGGATGAAGAGGAGAAAGAGGAGAATGAGGAGGATAAGGAGGATGAGGAGGATGAGGAGGATGAGGAGGTGGAGAAGGAAGAATAATAGTTATGATATTGATATTATATGATGATAATGATATTATAATTATTTTAGTATTTTAACATACATTTCATTTTCTCTTGTTTCCTTAAGTGTCTACCATCAGTACATCTTGTACTCCCAGACACCTGGAACCCCAAGAACCTACTCAATGATGTACTTGACAAGTGCAGCAACAGGTCGGCCTGTAGTAGGATCAGGCAGATCCCCTAAACACAAAAATAACACCATCAAGTAAAAGAGGTAAAAAATATTCAATACAAAAACACAAAAATAAAACCATCAAGTATAAGAGGTAAAAAAAAATTCAATACAAAAAACAGAAAAATTACATTAAAAAGAATTGTCTGTGGATGTTGCAATATTAATGAAAAAAACTTGCGGATGCTGTAATTTTAATATAATAATAACCTGCGGATGCTGCAATATCAATGTGGGAATATTTAAGAGGAGTTTCATCCTTTAACTGATGTTTATCCAATCCAGAAACCTGAAAAAATATTTGTACAACAAAAAATATTTAAAAATTCAACAAGACACTTCCAAACTCCAAACTTGAAATGACTTTAATAAAACAAGACTGAAGTGAGAAGGGTTGTTCATCGTTTTGAAAACGATCGTTTTTGTTTCGTTTTTCAATCGTTTTTAAAAACGACCCACTCGTTTTAAACTTTTAGAAAACGAATAACGATCGTTTTAGAAAACGATCGCTTTTGAAAACGATCGCTTTTGAAAAAAGATCGTTTTTGTAAAACAAAAATTTATTGACAATTATGTTAACGATCGTTAACAAAGGGTCGTCGTTTACAATCGTTAACGAAGAGCTCTCGTTAACGATCGTCAACGAAATGACGAACTTTATAATAAAGATTGTTTCATTTTCGATTTTTCGTCGTCCCCTATTTACCAAATTTCGTATTTCACCAACGGTGCGTAAATACCCCTATTTTTCGTAAAATACTCGTACTCAAATCCGAAAAATGTTCGTACTTTAGGTAAATTTCTCGAAAAATACGTAAAATATACCAATATCTAATTGCGTAAAATTTTGGAAAAATTGTTCGGAAATTTCTCGTAAAATTTACTAACATTTTTACGTAAAATTTACTAACATTTTCACGTAAAATTTACTAACATTTTCACGTAAAACCGAAAGTTTTAATATCTATTTATGTCACTGTAATGGGTATTAAGTGCGAAAAAGTTTTTACCGGGATATTTACTTTTTCTAGTTTGTTTGAGATTAAAATGAAAATACTTTCATTTATGAAACTACATTAAATGCCACTAGATGGCTCTAGAAGTGCAAGTTTAAAATCTATGTACTTACGTTTTTACAAATTTTTCATCATAAAATTTTCTAATTTACATAAAGCTTTAATAAACTTAATTATCTGTTTGATATTTTTTTCAATTGCATCCTTGTGAATATACTCACAGAATCGGGAGGGGGGTTGAATCTTTAAATGCTCAGAGCAAGTTGTTTACAATTAAGATTATACTTCACAGGATCATTTCTGTAGTATGATTGACAAGTTTCCTGTCTGAAACTTGAAACCTTACTGATCCATGATGATGAGACACATGGCATGTTCAGAGGGTGATTAAGTTACTTTTTCGCCCTGTTGTAGGGCGATAAAGTAACTTTTTCGCCCTGTTGTAGGGCGATAAAGTAACTTTTTCGCCCTGTTGTAGGGCGATAAAGTAACTTCTTCGCCCTACAATTGGAAATATTAGGTGTGATAAAATTTTCTCAAAATTGAATAAAATATTTAAGAAAATTTTACAGAAATTTATTAAATATTTGAGCATTTTTTTCGGAAAATTAAAAAAAATTCGCAATTTTACGCAAAATAAACTAAAAATAATGGGTACATTTTACGGGATTTTATTCGAAAATTTTGCGCAAAAATGGGATCGTTTTTTTTACGTAAAATTTATGTATTTCATTTGCGTAAATTTTACTAATTTTGACCCAAAAATGTGTGTAATTTTCGAAATTTAGTAAATAGGGTCGTTTTCATAACAAAACAATTAAATAGAATGAAAACGTTAACATCCCTAGGAGTGAGGTCCTCTATAAAAAAAGAAGAAAGCTGAAAAGGTGAAGGATGAATAAATTAATAGATATAAAACGCTAAATTGTGAAAGTATGATTTCTTGAACAGATGAAAGGAAGTAGCAACCAGGCTTTGGGACTTCTTGTTAGGGGTTTTACGCTCTTTTTATTGAACTAACTAATCATTTCTCACCAACGAAGCGATGAAGGATAAAAGAAAAAATAAATAAATTGATGAATGAATGACCTGTTGAAGGAATGCACTAGGTATCTGATGCCCCCTAGGTGTCCTAGTACTAGGTGCACTGTTAGCCTGTAGTATAGAAACAAACTCTCCGCTCTTATCCACATTGAAGTCCCAGTCCTCTCGGCGGATAGTACTGATCTAGGTAAATAGTTAACCTTCAGAGGCGGAGAACTAGTGGGGTGGGCACAGAATGCCATATGAGTCGTACATTTCACAAAAGAGTATAAAGAGTTTAAAACAATAACATTCAGAGGAAAATGCCGCAAACATTCTAGAAGAGAAACTTTAAATTAAAAAAACGTAAATTAATTTCTAGTGCTTCAGGTGGCATATATTTATAGATTTATTTTTGAAACTGAGGAGCAATAAAGAAAGCTTTAACAAAATTGTACACCATAGGGTGATTAATAGAGGTCAATATGGTCTTATTTCTAAGAAATAAACGATTTTATGTTACGCTCTTTTTGTCTGATTACCAATTGTGGTGGTAGAGATTACCAATTGAGGAGCGTGCATGCCGCAAAACACATTTGGGTGGCGGTGATTACCCATTGAAGACTTCTGCACTCCCCCCCTTGTTTGAGATTAATACTGTACCTCGAATAGATCGGCCATTTTGTCTCCTGCCACCACAAGGCTCTGGGCAACACCAGCTTGACGGGCTGGACCGTTATCCATCACAATACTGTAATCACCAACAGCTAGGAATAAATATATTAGAAATATACATGTCCAGAAACCAGAAACCAGAATGTCACGAAACTTTGAAAAAAAAAGCAAAATGAGACTAATTAAATAAACACACTACATTCAGTCAGCACTAATTGCACAGGCTCTTCTTAAGGCATGGCCTTGTAAATAGAATTTTTTTTATCTGAATTGGAACTCTATCCCCATTTACTGTATTCAACGTTCAAGGCTATATTACCAATGCATGCATGTCCAGTTAGAGTAGCAATGGTAAACAGACTTGGGTCCGGTTGCTTAACTGCAGATTCCTGCTCAAATACATTGTATTAAATATCATTAAAACCAACATTCTTCATGAGGGAGTGACCGGCTATGTAAGGTAGTTGAACTGAGTTGCAGTGTTGTGGAAAACTTCTTTCGGATTCACTTGAGACATATTAAACTTTTTAAAGACCTGTAAATCCTAAGTTTGAGCGCAAATGCGACGTTCAAAACTCCTACTTTGTGGGTGGATACGTTTTTAGAATCAGTTTTTTCTAAATTACTAAATAACGACGACGAAAAATAAAGTAAAAATCATACAGTAATCTAATTAGATCGTTGGGAACATATTTCTCAAAACAAATTTGTCAATAAATCAATGCTAGAATCAATTATTTTGTTTTCACCATTATATTGAATTTCTTATTTTCTTGGAATTTATTCGCAGATTTCTTAAAATTCTTCAAATGTCATCTTTTCAATATTAATTCAAGAAAATCTGCAGAAAATGTTTGTGAATAATAAGAAAATAGATACTAATAATTGAACAAGATTACTTATTTTCAATGATAGGATTAATTTTTATTTTCTCAACCGGTTCCGAAACAACTAGTTTACTGTAGAGTTTTGTTTACATTTTTTGTCGTCGTTATTTAATAATTGAAAGAAAAATAATTCTGAAAACGTATCCACCCCCAAAGAAGGAGTTTTGAACGTCGAATTTGCGCTCCAACTCAGGATTTACAGATCTTTAACAAGTTTAATATGTCTCAAATGAATCCAAAAGAAGTTTTCCATATCACTGCATACTCAGTTCAACTACCTTACATAGCCTGTCACTCCCTTTAATGTTCACTTTTTTGTGTCTCAAAATTATTATTATAACATTTTTGATAGTTTGAATAAAATTCTTCCTTGCATTTGCAGAGAACATCAACCATTGCCATCCTTCCTTCGGCATCAGTGTTACCAATCCTATACAAACATTATTATTTTTTTAATGATAAGTACCTTTACTTATCCCTGAAGTACGTTTACATCCCTGATACTTAAAACAAATCTTAACATACCACTAAGCAGTTACTTATTCCTGATCCTCAAACCATAACAGTCCCTTTACCCGATTCTAACACCATAATAAGAGTAATAAGAGAAGAGATCTGCAAGAATCCCCGGCTTGGGCAACCCAGACCGTCTTCATGTAGCGTCCGATTATTACCGATAAGATCAATCCTGAACCAGTCAGGCCATGTATCTCCTCTTAACAGCCTGTTTACGGTTTACCTGATCCTAACACCATAAACAGTCACTTTACCTGATCCTAACATCATAAACAGACCATTTACCTGATCCTAACATCATAAACAGACCATTTACCTGATCCTAACATCATAAACAGCTCTTTTACCTGATCCTAACATCATAAACAGCTCTTTTACCTGATCATAACATCATAAACAGCTCTTTTACCCGATCATAACACAATAAACAGCCCATTTACCTAATTCTGACACCATACACACTTCACACCCCATTACCTGATTCTTACCATATAAACCATTTACCTAATGTTAACACCATTAACAAACACAATAAACAGCCCAATTGTCTAAATTTAACACCACAAACAGCCCATTTACATAATCAAACATCATAACCAGCCCAATTACCTGATCCTTTAACAGCAAACAACCAATTTACCTGATAATAACACCAAAAACACCTGATTTTACGCTATTAAAAGAACCCTTTACATAGTTCTAACACTATCAAATCAAATCAGACTCTATGGGACGCTCTAGGACTACATTATCAATCTTGAAGAAGTGACTACTAATTTACCTGACCCTGACATCATAAACAGTTCTTTTATCTGTTTATAACACTGTTAACCCTTTACCTTATTCTTACGCCTGCCCTGCTAGTTATAATCTCGTCTGAAACATAACAGTTCTCCCCCACACTGTTCCTCACCATACAGAGGGCTCCAACCACCATAACTCCCTTAACAATTAAGAGATTGTCAACGAATAATACATGTTTCCATAAAAGAGTTCTTTAAACTGCAATCTTATGAAAAATGTTGTAAAACTGGGTTATGAATATTTATCAACAAACCCCACTAAAAAAAATGAAGGGACAGCTATTTAACTTTTTGATTTAATTTCACTTGAGCAAGTTTTGACCAAATAAATATATATCACAATAAATGTTAAACACAAGACTGATATGATTTGAATTTGTAAATGTACAGTGCACAATGTTTAGTTAGTATGCATACTTTGATATAAATAAACTTATTTATGTTCCAAAGAAAAAACCAAAGATAGATTTTCAAGAAATCAAATATTTCTCAGAAATGTTAATGCATGAGACATCAAAGCTATTCCGAGAGAGGAGGGGCCGTGTCTTAACTCCAAATTTTCCTGTTCCAGTCAAGCTTAAGTATTTGTAAAATCTCAGAAGATAAAATATTTCACTGAAACTCTCAGTTTTATCTTAATACCAAAAAGACTATATGTAACCTAAACTGCTTAGGTTTTATGCTTTTAATTTATCTTTTTTAATGAATCTCAAGCAGTATAATGTGGGGTTTGACAGCAGAGTGCAGGGCTCATGAATTGACTCCTCCTCCCTCTCTCATAATTCGTTTACTAAATTCTCATACTCCGAGGCCCACCACCCTTGCTTTCCTTCCCCCTTTTCCCAACTCCATTCCCTTCCTGCCATCATAATCCATCCCATCCCATCCCATCCCATCCCATCCCATTCTTTTACTTACTTTAGGTTTGACAAGGGAAAGGGTTTTCATAATCCCAGCTACAGCTGCTGCTCCACACTTATCCCTGGATAATAATCCCATCATAGAAAAAGATAAGTGATTGAAGAAAGTTAGTTCTATGTGTAATTTTCCAGTTAAAGGGGAAAAATGAACGAATTATGTAAATCCTTTTTGAGGAGCAGAGGGGAGGGGAGGAGGAGAAGGGATAGAAGACCATATTTATCCTGGGTACAGGTTGAGGGGGGTATTACAATGTATTTTCCCCATTAATGATAAATATATCTACAGGAATCAGTCCTTGTCAATACTTGTTTGTCTTTTTCTGTCAAATAATTGCATCAAGAGAGATTTACAAGAAAATCACTCTTCCAAGACACAGAATAGAAACAGATAAGAAAGGTAGTCCAAATCATGCTATCTCTATTCTCAAGTTAAGAGACAAATATCGCTTATCATAAGATTCCAAGACACATGCATATTGAAAATGTAAATATAAGTTTGGATATACTTGATGAATATTGAATATTGAATATTGAATATTGAATGTTGAATGTTGAATGTTGAATGTTGAATGTTGAATGTTGAATGTTGAATGTTGAATGTTGAATATTGAAATTGGATATTGGATATTGAATAATGAATATTGAAATTGAATATTGGATATTGGATATTGAATATTGAATATTGAATATTGATGAATATTGAATATTGAATATTGAATATTGAATATTGAATATTGAATATTGAATATTGAATATTGAATAACTACATAGGAACATTAGTTTTCACAATTTAGTTAAACCAAAACCTTCCTAGTCACTGAAATGAAATGCATATCCAATTACTTATGTCTGTTTTCTGTTTCAGTTTTATTCCATATTTATTACAACAGGGGAAGAAAGTGCCAACCCGTAATTGGGCCACAATGTAATACCGACTTATGACATTGAAAAATTCGAATATAAATATTGTATTGTTCTCACAATTAAATCGTGTTTACTATCCGTATTTTAAAGTATAATGTTAAAACAAATTTCAACAAATTTAGAAGTTAAAATTATTTTCAGAGATTCATGCTATTCTGTAAATTATATTATGAAAGTTGTTTAATCAAAACGCGTCCTAGATTCGAATTCATGATTTGCCAAAATGGGAAACCTTGAATAATCTCAAAAATGGGTTTAGTTCTAATTGAAGATGAACTAATCACACTTTCAATTCTAGAAATGAAGTAAATGGTGTTAATTGTAGTGTTAATGTCGTGCTTAATAATATATTGGAAGTAGGTTCTTTAATTGATATTTGCTCTAGGCAGAGGAAGAGTTAATAAAACGTTAATCATAAAATGTGTGCCCAAACCAGGAACACAAGCTTAGTCTTAAACGATAATTATTTAAATATCTGCAGAAAGGGTTGAATTCTTGCCGCGTTGTGTTGCATACCTTGACATACCGGCCATGACACCCCCGGCCTTGATATCAGCGCCACCGGTATCATAGCTGATTCCCTTTCCTACCAGGTATACGGTCTTCTTGATCTGACCTGGTAAACAAAAGTATTAAATTTTCACAAATTGTTAAGTTTTCCTAAGCATGAGTGTTAACCTACTAAATGTATAATTTATGAATAAAAAAATTTCGATTATATAAATTTCCCAAAAAGCTACTCTCCAGGAATGTCCTTTTTGTATTGGGTCCATTTTAAATTTCTTATTTACACACCACTACCTTCAGGTTTGTAGGTAAGCCAGATAAGCCGAGCATCATGTCGGTCAATCAGGCTGGCCGCCCTGTTCACAGCAGCCATACATGGATATTCACGCTCTAGGTGGGCCTGCCCTTTCTCTACCTGGATATTTATTTAATCAGATATATAAAATCGGAGCAAATCAAAGAATATTTTATTACGTCGACAAGCGCATTTGAATCCAAATGAGGTACAGATATTAAGAAGATGAACAGACATCATTGCATCTAATGTGCCCACAGTAGATATCAAAATCAAGAAATCGGGAATATAAATGTCCAACACGAGAGTTTCCCATCTCAGATTGATTCTTCCAATTAATGTATTTTTCTGTTTCTTCAGAGCCAGAAGAAAACAATATAACAATCAAACCTAGATATTGAATATTCATCACATCACACAATGTATTTCTTTTCATTCATTGCATAGCTTCATAGATAGCTATCTGGACCAATGTAGCTGATTTCTTAAAAAGTGCATCGGTACCCGGGGGTGACTTAGGCAAAATAGTGTAAATTTTTAAAATTCCATGGGGAACGCCGGGCACTTTATAGTTGAACCCGTGTCAAGTAAGACATTTTGTAATATCTCTTTCAATATTAATAGCAGCCGGTTCTATTTTTGAACGTAGACTCATATAATTTGTTAGGAGCAGGATATGAAGTCAGATTGTCGATATCTCTTTCCGGAGTCTTGGAACCTCTGAAAAGTGACCTCCGTCGGCTCCGATTTTTTATCTCCGGCCTCGTTGGACATAAATAGCCCATTTTTTAAATATATACTCCCAATGACCCCTAAAATACACAAAAAAAAAATTATTTTTTTNCCCCCCCCCAGAAAAAAGAGAACATTGTTCATTATACAGTAAACCCGTAGAAAACTAAAGAATAGGAATCATGACATTTAATCACAGGGCCACTGTCTTAAAGTCGTCTTCCTATTCCGCAATGTTAAGATCCCAAGTCCTTTTGTACTTATATACTTACTTCAATGGAGATGTTAGTTCCTTTGAACACTTCACGAACATATTCTTCAACTCTCGGAGGAGCCATTCGTTCAGGATCACTCCCGCCAATGTCTCTGAGAAAAGTTTGTCAGTATTTTTCATTGAACAAAAGATCATATTATTTATCAAACAACAAAAAGCAAAATGAATTATTATAAATATCATTCATTTAAAATTTCTTTTCGTGTCACAATATTAATTTAAAAATCGCTTAAATCCACCTTTTTGATCATACACTTAACTAAGAAGAATTTTAATTGTTTTTCTTTGATAGTTAATAGCATTGACTTGGAATGGTTCAAACATAATCAAATTTAATTCTTAGAATCACTTTTGAGTAAAAATTTAAATATCTGAAATATAAAATGAAGCAACCTGCCGACAATGAGTCCATCTTCTATCTGTGATGCAAACAGGAGTTGGTCTTCAGACCCTAACCATCCCAGTTTATCAACCTTCTAAGCAATTAATGAAGTTAAGATTGATTTATTGTCAAAAATGTTGTATTTTTTCGCAAAAAGCGCGCGCGCACTTTTGATCAGATTCGTTAAAAACCAAAAAATGCAAGTAATGTACATAATTTTAAGTTCATATGCAAAAAATTATCCTCCAACGACAATGCTAAGTTATGTTTATACACTATTTAGATTTCCCGGATCTAGTAATACGTTTTAGCCCTCCCCCCACCCCACCTTTTTTTATCCAGTGTCTTTAAAAAATTCACGGGCGATTTCTTTTTTCGTGAAATAAATCACTTTCCGGCTTTTTAATATTTTTTAAAATCCCGGATTTACATGTTTTAAAATACCGGAAAACGAATCAAATCAGGCTGTTGGAAATGTCTTATGCAGGCTTTGATTTGATAAAACATGTATTCTCTACAACAATTTTTCAGTGAATCAAGTTAAGAAAGAATAAAATCAGGAATATTTTTTTTAATATTTCTCTCCCGAAATCAAAATAACTATCTTTTAGAGTTTAAAAGAATTTAATAAATTTGATACCGTCTTTGATGTTTTCTACATCAATTTTAAAACGACCATTAGACATAAATGCAAAATTTGTCAAGACGGAAAAGGGCATACAGGATAAAGTGTAGACCAATCCATCGATCCAACCAAACCATCCAACCAATTAATTAGATAACAATTCAATCCATTAACCAACCAACCAATCAAACAAGCATTCAACAAAATACCAACCAACCTACCAACAACCAACCAACCATCCAACCAACCAACCAACCAACCATTAAACATAACCATTATTCTATCAATTTCCTAATACATCAATCAATCTACCAACCTACCAACCATTCAACAAAACCACCAATCAATATATCAATTACTTAATCAATCAATCAATCAATAATTCAACTAAACCATCAATCAATCAATCAATCAATAATTCAACTAAACCATTAATCAATAAATAAATTATATAATCAATCAATCAAACAACCAATAACCAACCAATCAGTCAATGTGTTTACCGTTGCCTTCTCCTTGACAGATTCCCTCATTTCAATAGGAACATAAACAGCAGAGAATCCACCCAGTAAACCCGCCATAGCAGCCTGAACAATATTTATATTTATCAGAATAAAAGTACATATATATTTTCGGTGCTAAGGATCCATTTCATTTTAATGCGGATCCGGATCATGAATATTTCTTCAAGATATACTGATTTTTAACAAAAATTTTAATTTTCAATTTTTGTTGTTGCTTATTTCTTAAACTAAACTTAATTAACCGCTCAGAGATTATGAATATTTTAAGAGTCGCTCAAAAGTTTACGGTGGAGATTAGTCTTTTAAGTGATAAAAGTTTTTAGCAAGTTGTGGTTGGTATTTTGCCCCTTGGATCCGGATCCGTGGATCCACATATTTTTGAAGATCCGGATCCTTGAAGTCAAAATGTTTGAGTGATCCGGATCCTCAGCACTACATATTATATCAAATAATTATTCATTTCATCCTCTTTCAAGTTCATCATGAAAAACGTCAGCGTTAATTTCTTATTTATCCTGTCAGGAATTGTTTTCTTTCTGAATCCACAAGAATATACACCCCCAGTGTTAAGTTTTGATAAAAATTTGTTGCATAACATTTTAATTCTATATCTCAATACTTAATAACAAGAATTGAGAAATAAAAAATCAATATAAAAGTCTCCAGAGCTAAAATCAGATAAAAGACAAACTAAAAAATCTTACATCAGTTTCCGACCCTCCTGGAAGAGATCCCTGCACCATGAGAAGCGGTGAGCGTGCACCAGCTCCAAACGCGCGCTTGACCCCTGCCGCGCCGGCCTCGTGGAACCGGCGCAGGTCATCATAGTCCCGGTCAACCGGACCGGTACATGAATAGATCAGACGCTGGAAACAAAATTCAATATTCAAAATCATATTTTTAAAACTTTTATCTTATAGAGCTTAATAACCCTAAAACTATTCAATAAATTGATATAAAAAAACAGGTCAGCAAGAATTAAAATCAATAAAACTTTCATTCTAAAAACTAGTCTAATTTTAAAGGATTTATGATAAAAGATTAATAAAGATAAAGGATTAATCTTTCTGTGTAGTTGCTAAATAAAACTATCTTAAAAATACTATCTCTAATCTCTTTAAACTCGTCTTAAATGAGCGAAGGTGAGCCTAAATACCAAATAAACAAAAGTTTCCTTAAAGAGACTGTTCACCTAAATGAAATAAAGCATAATGCCTACTTTTAAAATCTATGATCAAAACTGAGCCCAATCAAAAATTAGGAAATTGTGGTGTTCTAAATCAGATTAACAATCCCTTTAATTAGCAGTTCAAACAGGTTTCTGTAAACAAACAAGTTTATCTGAGTAAACAGCTTGCATTAAAGAGACTGTAGACGTAATTTTAATAAAAATTCCACTTAAAGAGTATTATGTCCGCTTCAAAATCGTACAATTTAAACCTTGTTGAAGTAAGGGTACCGCTATGAATCAGACTTGCCAAAGTGTAAATGGATTCAGTTGAAATTAAGCCTGCAGTCCCTTTTAAAGTAAACAAACTAGTTAAGAGAGGAAACAATCAGTAAACAGTTGGCATTAAAACAATTTCACGATATTCTTTTGAATAAGTTTTCTTAAATACTCTGATTTTTCCTTTTTTCTATTATCAGAAATTATCTCTACACCTCAATTTATTTTAAATAAATATCGTATTTTTTTAGGAAAAAAAGCGCGCGCATCCTTTTGCTCAGATCTTATTGAAGCCAAAAATATCTTGTACAGTAATAGTTTAAATACAATGGAATAAGAAGACGCCACTTTTACTTGATGTTAACAACAACATATAGTTTACCTTGATGTTAACAACAACATATAGTTTTATTACACACTTATTAATATTAAATTAATTTAATGGATCTGTTTACACTGCACAGTGGACAATTGCTGTGTCTCGTGCTCATTGGACTTTTTAAAGATATAACTTGATTATAAGCTGTCTTCTATTTCAGAGTTTTCTATTTATCACTGTATGATAAATATTTTCAAATGCCCTCCCGCCGATATTTCTTTAAAGATTCAATTTTGGATTTTTCCTTGGCTGGCAGTGAAATGGGGATAAGAGTGCAGCCCTAAAAAAAAACTAAATTAATCAGTTGAAATTTGTTTGTCAAGAAACATTTAATACTGCAAGACCCAATCCTCCATTATCTTACATTCGTCTATAAAAATCAGGACAAAACAATGTCTCTTTCACCAAAAATCAGTTTCCTTCAAAATTTCGCAGATTTTCTTGAAACATACACATTAAGTTAAAATTCAATATAATTAAGTTAAATACTAGAAATTTGAGATCAAATCAAATCAAATCAAATCAAAGTAAATCAAATCAAATCAAATCAAATCAAATCAAATCAAATCAAATCGAATCGAATCGAATCGAATCGAGCTAAATTGAATCGAATCAGGCTGTTCAATTGTCGCGGACCTTTAAAGGAGAAGAAATAAATGTGGAAAAAGATAATTCAGATTTATAACCTTTGATTCTGTTCCGGCATCCAGGGCCAGGATAGGGGCTAGAGCTGATTTTATCAGATCTGGTAATCCCTTAAATTAATAAAATTAATAAGTAAATAACCATGATGTTGGAACATGCTTAAAATCGATGCCAATGTGCCATGTGCCATTTTTAAACCCTGCAAACGAAATTCCAGTGGAAAAATGTCTAAGCTTTTCATTTTTTACTAAATTAGTATTCTTAGTGATAAAAATCGATATCATATTTTTGATGTAGATAATTTGCACTGTCACAAACAAATATAAATATATCTATAGATGGAAATATATATATATAAATATATATCTATAGATGGAAACACCGCAATTTATAAGATTCAAATAAATATTTAGTGTTGAAACAAAGTAAAAAAGCAATCTCAATAACAACCGGAAAATAATCTAATATGAGTTTTATATTGATTAAAGAAATTATGTTCCTTCACATTTAAGGGGTTGAGACGAACAAATTATAAACTCTACAAAAAATCTATTTATCTATATATATACTTTGCTTGTTTTTTTTGTATCCATTAAACATCAAGATGTTTGAACCGATCAGGCCCCAATTTTAAAAAAAAAATTTAAATCAAATAAAAAAATCATCTAAGCATTGGAAAACACTAACCTTTGTTGAAGGAGCAACGACGACAATAGCGTCGAAATTTCCATCGTCCAAACTTTTGACGGCCTTTGTTAGGACACCCATCCTAAACATTTCATTTTTAAATTTTCCCTCCATTTTCTTCCAACTATTTAAGATAAATTATCCAACTTTACACATCATATAATAACTATTTATTGTAAGATTCAGGAGAGTACGTGCAAAAGTAAGAAAATCCGCGACCTTAACCCCTCCCCCCCCCAAAAAAAAATCCAAAGCCTTGGGGCATATTATCCTTTTTAAAATTAGGTTATCCATAATTCTAAATTGAAAATTTGCATTCATTTTATTTGCCGAAATTCGCACGGAATTTCCTATTTCGGTAGAAAGACCTACAGTGTGAACCAGACATTTGTGGAATAAATGTCGTCTTTGTTCTTTATTTTATTCAGATATTGTCGCTACAGTGTGAACCAGACATCTGTGGAATAAATGTCGTCTTTGTTCTTTATTTTATTCAGATATTGTCGCTACAGGGAGAACCAGAAAATCGTGAAATAGAAAGACGATCATTATTGGTCTCAAGTATTTATAATTTTCAATTCTTGAAACTGGTGTGTATCTCTATTTTGTTTTCAGCACTGTTTAGAAATTATAGTTTTATTGCTGATAATAAAATCCTAAGCGACATTTTGAAATAAAACGAAAAGAATTCCGCAGTTTTTCTTGATTTCACTGTTTGACTGATTGATTGAAAAGCTCTGAATATTTAACGATTAAAAGGACGGTAAGCGTAATTATATGTGACCCTAAGTGCAAAGATAGAAACGGTACCCTTGAAACCTTAATCTGATCAAAATGGTGCAAGATAACGTTGTTTTTCTGACTCGAATAGGGGTTATATGTCTCTGACTTCCTCCATTACTCAGTATAAGAAAGAAATGAGCAAGCCATTTTTGCAGAGAAACCACAAAAGAAAATAAATAATTTATTAACAAAAAGGTTCAATTCTAATATTTTTTATGTGTTAAAAAAATGATTTAGTTAGGTTTATTATGCTTATTTGTCAGTAATCTTTCTTTTAAATATAGAATATTTAGAAGGATATTTGTTATAAATGAAGAAACTATGATGACAGACTAACATTGTAAATTAACTTATCCAAATTAATATATTCTTATCATGTCCCACCCAGGATAGTACAGATCGTCCCATCATATTAGATTATCTCCAAGTTTTAACGCCAAAATAAACCCAAAATACACGAAAACCATAGCATTTTCCGCAAGAATATTCTTATATTAGCCTTATTCAATTTTTCAAAATGATTCATACTTCTTAAAATGGCTTATTAGTCCCAAAAATCGTAATTTAGACGGATGATTGACGATCTAGTATGATGTGGGACACACTGTATATTCACTTGAAATCACGACTTCAGTCCCTCAAAATTAGTAAACTGAGCTAATTCATGATATATTAATAATATTGTTATTAATTGATAATTCATACACTGATAACCAGATAACTTTTAAGTAGGAAGACGACTTTTAGACAGAAGTTTTCATGAAACGCAGAAATTGTGCAGTGTAAACAGGCCCATTTCACTAAATTACAGATTTTATATGTTAATATTTAAACTATTTGCTTTGTTACATCAAATACACGTCTGTGTTGCTGTAATGTCGTCTTCCTATTTCATTGTTTTCTGCAGTAAGGATCAAATTAATCTTGATGCGGATCAGGATCATAGATCCGCACTGGTCAAAAATGAATCCGGATCCGGGTCCAACTCGAATCCGGATCCAGGTCATATCATTTATTTAAGAATTACTGATTTTAATTTAACAGAAATTTTTTTAAAATTATTTTTCCTTTATTTCCACTTATTTTTGTTGACAACAACTTGATAAACAATTCAAAGACATGGCCATTTCTGATAATCTCTATTTGTAACAGTTCAGATTTGAGTTTTAAATGAAAAAGATTTTTTTGTTGCAGTTCTAGGTTGATATTTTGCTCTTGGATCCGGATCCCTGAATCCGCATATTTTCGCGGATCCGGATCCAGCGAGCTAAATGTTGCGAATCCAACGAATCCGGATTCTAAACACTTTTCTGATCATCACCTTAATGAGAATACTATTTAAAATTTCTATGAAAACTAGGTTATAACGTTTAATTTCTGCTTTGACAAGAAAAATGATAAAATTATTTTAGAAATTTTAGGGTGAGGAGGGGCGTTTCTCTTTACCTAAATGTAGCGAAGACAGGCACTGATTAAAACTATTTTCAAGATAATGAAGAACTCAAGTTAGAGGGACTGTCCGCAAAATTTCAAGAAACTATTTCATTTAAGGGTTGCACAATGTATGATTTATACCATACAATGCACAATACACATGTATGATTCAAACCTCAATTGTTTTTTTTTCGGACAAAAAGGGGTAAAGCGTACAGTTGTTTATCTGGCATGTTACGCTTTAAAAATACGTTGACAGTCCCTTTAAGAGATAACGAATAATTGATAATATGAAACGAGATAAAATAAATGTTTAAACAAATAAACAATGACAATGCAGAGAGTACACTAAGCAACATTAACAAATTCTAAAATCCAGTGTCATGTTCAATAATGCACCCAAAGAAAGGAAGGGACTGTGGACGTAGTCTCAACTCACCTATTTTCTCAACTTAACTCTTTAAATAACAAGGTAACACCCCTTAATAGGTGAGTAGAGTGAGTATCCGTGGTAAAGTGATAACTCTGGAATAGAAAGACGACTATATAGCAATACTGATATATTTTTGATGTTGTCACAAAGCAAATAGTTTTACTAGACACTTACTCTATCACTTATTAACTAAACTGGGTCTGTTCACACTGAACAGATGCTGTTTTCCATGTTTATTGGACTATTTAAAGTCATAACTTAAGTCTAAAAGTCGTCTTCCTATTGCAGAGTTTTATTGTTATCACTGTAAATAGTATGCATGATTCTAACTTATTGAACAAAGACGCACTTTAAAAACTTCAATTAGATTAAAACCGTTAAGGCAAACAAGTCCAAAATAATCCAAATCAACGGTCAAAACTTTAGTGTAGCTGAAACCCCTTGTGATAATTAAAGGTCAGATGTATTTTCTAGCAACCCTCCGTCGAGAGTGTTGATTGTCCGATTCGCAATGGCACCTATTAACAATAATCAAACAAACAAACAATTGCAGAATCTCTGTAAAAGAGACTTGGAGAACAATAGCAAAATCGTGAAAATTTGACCATTTTTAAGCAAGAAAAAAGAAGACATATTATACATATATAAAACTGAAAACTGAGAAGCTGTTCTGATTATTGCTTTATAGTTATATAAATTATATATATATATATATATATATATATATATATATATATATATATATATTAAAAATAATAGGTGGTGGGACACCCTGTATCTTTCAACAATAATTGGGGGTAAGACACCATATATATATATATATATATTAAAACATCCCTTTGTCTCTTAGAAATATATGAAGTAGGTGATGCTAGGAATTAAATAGTTGTAAATAAAATAAGAGAACAATAACTAGACATTTTAAGTACTTGGCCAACCTTTTTAATCTTGACCTTTCAGTTTGGTTAAATACAGGGATTTAAAAAGATCTGTTTTTTCGTTACATTTTGACTAATAAGCATAACGAACCTAAAAAATATCTTTCCAAAACATTAATGTATAAGTGATAAAAATGAGAAAACACCTTGCCCCCTTTCATTTCTTGATTGACAAATTGAAAGGACAAAAATCATTTAAAACCTACCTGCAAGCTAACTCGTCAATTGCAATCTTCAATCTGAAAAAAAGAAAGCATGTAAAAAGTTAGATTCACATGAATTGATTTTATTGAGTCAGCATTGAAGAAAAGGAAAAGGTACAATGAGCACAAAATACACAGAATACAACGTTTCGGGGCATCGGCGATGGGTCAACGATTTATCGACCACCGCGACTTCCGAATCCGCCTCGGCCTCCACGGTCACCACCTCCAAATCCTCCCCCACGGCCTCCACCAAATCCTCCGCCGCGACCTTCAGAGGGTCCACCACGACCGCGGCCTCGTCCCCCTGCGCCGGCTTGTGCGCCCAGGATTGCGGATTTTCCTCGAACTCCTCCCCGGCCCCGGGTAGACATGTTCTTCAACATTGGCGCATTTTTCAACATGTCCGGCAGGATCATGAACCTAAAACAAAAAAAATGCAGATTAAAACTAGCATAAAGCGTCAAAAGTCGTCTTAGTTCAATTTTTTTTAAAATGTAGTAAAACTTTCTGTAATTTTTAACATAAAATTTGTTCTTTTTTCCTTGTTCAGGGCCCAAAATTGTTTTGCTTAATCTACTTTTTAACATAACTACATTTCACAACTTTTACAGTAGCAAAATCGGAACATTTTCTAGGTAGTATAAATTTAACTTGATAGGAGGAGAGATTAGATAAGTGATAAAAATTCTTGATGTACGATGATGAAGCATTTCTACATTCTCTTTACCCTTTCCTACCTGACTTTAGATCCTCTGATATAGATATGCTCTAACTGGGCAACTCTACCATCCCTAAAATATATATTTAAAAATCTGAACAATATCAAATTTATTGAATCATTAAAAAACATCACTTGAATATTTTTATGTTAATATAAAAATGCAAATTTTCCTAATTTGATGTTTAATTATTAAGAATATTTTTTTTGGAGGTAAACTTAAAGCATCTTGACTGATTTGGGAAAATACAATTTCAGGGCCAACGTCGCGACTAGAATTATTTTCTAGGACAATCGTGAACCTTGAGTTCGACCCTAACCTGTATGTAACAGTAACGGACGCCATCTGAGAGTTCATGTTGTCTTCCGCTTCGATCAGCTTTCCTCGGTATACCTGGACATTCAGTTCAATTGGGTTGGTTTGAATTTGGTTGAATTAGGTTGGGTTGGGCAGTTCAGCTCAGCTTACTTGAGTTGAGTTCAATTCTTTTTAAATCTTCAAATGAAAAACAGGTAAGAAACATTTTTGCAATTAAAGCAAAATTTAAAAGCTAGTTGATAGTCAATGTCAAGCATAAGTTTAATTTCTGTACCTCGCCAGTGTTGGTCTCGATGGTGACAATATGACCCTCGGCCTCGTGCAAAACCTTTAGAGGAACTCCAATAGTAGCCATTTTAATTTAATGAGTTAGTACGGTAACTCAACCTTAAATATCTGAAATATTAAGAAGTTTAAAATTTAAAATTATAGGTAAAATTTTAAAATTCAGAACAAGGTCACAAAATCAATTCTATTTAGAGACTATACGTAACTTAAGTAACCCTCTATTAAAAAAGTGGCATTTTCAATTCACTTCGAAATCCTCAATTAAACCTTGAAATGAGAAAAATGTGTCATTTTAAAGCTTACGCTATAACAACTTCCTTCGCTTTTTTAAGCAGCATAAATTCACAAGTGATCCTCACAGAAACCACCATTATAAAATATCAATATTGAGAGAGGAAAAATAAGGATATCTCATTTATCCTTGACCGGACAGAAGTTTAAAAGTTATTGTAAATCGATCCACTGAAAATAATGCCTACATTGTAAACTGTTAACTTCGGGCAATGCAGAAAGAATAACGTCTAATACCGTGAGAATCAGAAAACAGTGGATTTCTCGAAGTCATCAATTTTTCTTTTAATAATACAATGTCGCTCAAGATTTTTCAACGGATCTGTTTTTCAGAAGTGCCCTGTATATTTATCAGAGATATCAGTTGCAAGCAAAAATTACAAAATTCTTAGCAACATTCCTTGAGTTAAAGGAAAAAGATCAGACAAAATTAATTTCACAGTTTCCTAACTTTCACTAAGTTCAAAGTTACAATTCTAGAATTTTCCACATTAACCCCCGTGAATCCTCTCAGTGCAATCTACAATTCTAAAATTGAATACAAAATATAAATTCCAGAAAATAGATGAATTTTACAAAGGAAACATTTTACCAAATTTTGAACAACAAAAACAATAATGACTTATTAAAGGGACTGTCGACATAATTTTTAAGTGACCCACCAACGAAAAATTACGAGTCCGATTCACAATGGTACCCAGAACACAATTATGTATTGTTCTTTAAAAAGAGATTAATTTGTTTTCTACTGAACTTGTTTCTTCTGAACTCCGTTAACAGAAAATTGTCCATTTTAGAGAGAAAAACGCCATTTAATCTCAAATAAATATGTGTAAGGTACAAACCCAACATGACTCGGAAAAATAACTTTATAACCTGAGAGTCACTTCAAGTTACGTTTACACTCTACAGTCCCTTTAAGCATAACATTTGAACATTAGTCGACTTAACAATATCATCCTTTCTAGACATTTAAATAACAATCTTATAATATTCTCTGACAAAGAGATTACATCCTCTCAAGAGGTTGAACACCAAGGATAACTAAGCAGTCTGCTAAAACTCTCCGACTGCAGTAGAACAAAAGCAGACGAGCTCTTATCAATTATTTTCTTTAGGTGTTAAGCTTGATTAAGCTTAACGTCCTTTTACGTCCCCGTCCCAGTCCCTGGCCCCGCCCAGGCCCATACCCATGCCCATGCCCATCAATATTCAATTTAAATCTATTTAGATAAAATTAATATTTAATCTAAAGAATATATTCCTTGCTGTTTCTTCTTCTGCTCCTTTAACATTCAAAGATTTCAAGCATCTACGCAACATGAAACTGTTACCACATGATTTTCGATTGCTCTGGAGAAAAAAAATCATGTTAACCAGCAACTTTTTTCACTTTCTTCCGATTTTTTTTATCAAAAGAAATATGCATTTTTAAACAAACTTTGCCGCTCTGCGCTAACATCTTGGAAATAAAATTGATTTTTAAAGAAAGAGAGGGAGATATTTCAAGAAAATATATACCCATGAAATTTTCAAAAGTTTGAATATAAATATGTTTTCAACAGTGTATGTTCCTGTTGGTGAGATGGGCTAATTGGAACAAGTATCTAACCAGGACACTGGGTTCAAGATCAGTATACGCTCTACTCAAGGTCTCATCCCAGATACCTAGATACAGGATACAAGGTTCAAGATCAGTATACGTTCTACTTAAGGTCTCATTCCAGATACCTAAATACAGGACAAAGATAACAAGATATGATACAGAATACAGAACTCAAAATACAATGTTTAGTATGCATATATATTATACGCTTTCTGAATGAAAGTGATAATTATCCCTCAATGTTAAGATCTAGCTTTTTCATGAAAAAAAATTATTCAAAAATGGGTTGAGAAAATAATATACCTATTTGGAAAACGAGATCTAAAGCTTCCTGTTCGACCAGTTTTCTTGTAGAACACTCAGTATCCAACTCTACCTCACAGTTTGCCAGCAGAGAACTTAATCTTAATTAAGGTTTCATTTCTAAACAATTCCAGAATTCCTTTACAATTTACTCCACGTCACCCATATTTTCGGGGACAAATTTTTTGTTTCTCGCATTTTAAAAAAAATACACATTTTAAGAGTTCTAAGCGCTGCAATAAATAACAAAAACCCAGAAAATTGTTTTAAGACGTGTAACAATTATCAAGTTTTAAAAGAAAAATACTGACAATTGAATTTAGGAAGACAAAATAAACAAAACCCAAAACTTTTATTTAAAAAATTTCTAACAGTTAACTTGAAAAGATGTAAATTTACCTTGCGTGTAAGTATTGCAGTTTTACTCCAGTATCTCCACTGAAAATATAGACTTTGTATCTGTTGGAATATTTTGAAGAATTAATTGATTAAGCAAATAATTGAGTTATTATTTAGGGGAAAGGTGATTGAATGAGTGACTGTAAGACTTACAAAATCAGCGATTGAAAGAATGTGTAAGAAAGTGAGAAACTAAGTTACTAAGAGAGTGAGTTCCCGTGTATCAAAGTGAGATTACGAGTTACTGAGAGAGGAGTTAGTGAACGAGTGACTGGTGACTGGTGAGTAAGTGAAATGAGGAGAAAATAGCTATAGAATGGAGAAGTGAGGATAATTTCCAAACATTTAGGGATTACACTTCCTGCTCTTATATTATCTTTAACGAATCTTTTCAGGAAGATTGGGGCTGATGTCACTCATCATGTATGATGTAAACCTTTTCTGGTTCTGCTGCATAACCCCCTANCAGGAGAACTTATAATCTCTAGTTCTCTTCTGCTTGAAATCATTAATAATAAGAGCTGAGATACCAAGAACAGATGCTGCATTCTCCCCCTCAGCCCCAGACACACGAGTTGTGTGAGTAGTTTTCTGCACCTCCAGCATACGCTCTCTTGCTTCATCTGAAGAAAGCATCATGAAAATATACAATTCATGATCTATCCGAGATTTATAGCAAACAAATATTTAGATAATTTTTTTATATTATAAAAAAATGTCCACTTATGAAACCTAAAATATTTTTGAATAATCATAAAACTTCCAACGCACTGGTTTTAGATAAAATTTTGTTGTCAAGGTAAGAATTGTGGATGAAATAAAATCGATACAAACATTTACCTGAATAATAGTGGTAATTTAAAAACATTTTTAATTATCCTATATCTTAAAAATTCTTAATAATTTTTTGTGTGTTAAGATCAATCAGTAAATATAAGTGGATTAAAAAACACTGAAAATAAAGTATAAAAAAATACCTATTAGTGTGTCCAAGAATATAATATTTCCCCTCCTAGTGCTCATCCCCAGTATCTTCCCGAACTTAACATTAAAAAAAAGTTAGTTTTTTTCTACAAATCTTTTGGAAAGTTTAAGAACATGCAATAAGTACTAATGAGGTTACCCTAACATGGTTGCACGAGGACGCCCAGGAAAATCCGAGGTTACCGAGGATAGAAAAGAGGTTGCTGAAGTGGATTGATTGATCGTTATCAACAACATAAATCATCTTCTCAAATTCAAACCTAGAAAACGAATACAATGGTAACCATTTCTACATAAAGTGGATTGATTGATCGTTATCAACAACATAAATCATCTTCTCAAATTCAAACCTAGAAAACGAAAACAATGGTAACCATTTCTACATAAAGTGGATTGATTGATCGTTATCAACAGCATAAATAATCTCAAATCCAAACCTAGAAAATATAAAAACTGGTAACCATTGCTATATGAAATGGATAAATTAATTGTTGTCAACAAAAAAAAATAAACAAAAAAATAGAAGAAAATTATTTGGAAGATTTAAAAGATATGAAATAAATAACCGGGGAAAATCTAGATTAAAAACAATACAAATTTTGAACAAAAAAATCATTAAAGGGAGTGACCGGCTATGTAAGGTAAGTTTTGAACGTCGAATTTGCGCTCAAACTCAGGATTTACAGATCTTTAAAAAGTTTAATATGTCTCAAATGAATCCGAAAGAAGTTTTCCACAACACTGCATACTCATACTCATACAAGAAAAAACAAACAAACATTACCTTGTTTGTCTATCAATAGCGGCTGCGATATCCCTGCAAAGAAAAACCTAGTCAGATATCCCGTATTCACTTAATTCTTATATTTTAATATTCCCATATTATCAATATCAATAAGTCTAATAGAAGTCCTTAAGTTCTCAGCTCAGTATAAATTAGAAACTCGTTACTTTCAGGGAGAAAACATTTAAAGTTTATATCTAGCTTATATCAGGTGAGTATTAAAAAAAAATCCTTTTCTCAACCCAAACCTCTCTACCTATCACCCTCACCCCATCGCCCCATTCTTTTTTTTAATACAGAATGCTTACATAAAGCCCAAAATAATCATAATATTTTTTGGACGAGAAGTAAAACCTTGGCAGTATATGTTTAGATGGTCTGAACTATGTCCTTAATCCCGAAAATTGTGGCATTGTATATGAGTAAACAATTAGCTTACCTCGTAATATAAAGGGAGGAGCCGTCACTTTTAACAATAGTTACAAATCTATCCGGACTAAACCGTTACAATTTGATAAAACAGATTAATTATATATCAAGGGACAGTTCACGTTATTTGGATTGATTCTCCAACCGTAGTTTGCAACACAGGGGTGTATATTTTCCTGAAAGCCCCCCCCCAAGTTAGATATTTTCCCTCCAGATCTTCAAAAATCATTCCCCCCTGTTTAAAAATATACAGGCATGATGGAAATATTAAAGTTTGTTCTTGTAATTGACATTAAAGTATACTGTACACTGTACACTGTACAGCTGTACAGTGTACAGTAACAAGAGGTAAAATGGCGGAGATGTGTCTCATTTGAAAAACCAGTTTCTTGCTAAAAATCTAACTTAAATACAGTCTTTTTATACAGAAGGATCACTTAAAACTACATTGCCAATTCTCTTACAACATTTATGAATTTCACAGCCAAACCCCCCCCCCCACTCCCCGCTTTAAGTGGTAAAAATATATTTTATATTGACGCAGATCCGGATCCGGGATGTGTTCTGTAACATATCGACCCAGATCTGGTTCGTAAATAGTAGCTATAATTTTAAGTGTCTTTTAATCAAATTTCCCTAATTTGTACTACTCTCTTTCCGTTTAGATCCTAAAAAAGAATAAGAAAAATGTTAAAACGTTTATAATTGAATTTTTCTTAAAACAGACAGTAGTTATCTGTATGTGATTGTTTGTTTGTTTGAGCGATCATACCTCAGGAACCCCTTGACTGATTAGCCATAAATTTTAATTAGGAACTCAGTGGATCCATAGGAACTTACGGAGCTTGATTTATAATTCTTTAGTGGAGTGTGTTCACTTTTTTTTAGCTTGAGCATGACAAATAACACTGCAATAGATAAAGGACGAGGATTTCAAGGTGGTTCGGACGAGAAAATGAGGAGAATGTGGTTCGGACTAGAGATTGATGTGGTTGGCCTTCCTCCCCTCGTTAAAGGGACAGAGAAATTTTATTTTAAAATTGCCTAGAAACGAACCAAGGCAGACATAGTACTGAACTAATCATCCCACATTTATAAAATTACAAAAGGATAACTGTTGAAAAATTAAATTGAACAACCTGTAAGATATTTTGTTTGTTTAAGTGTTGGATAATTGATTCAGATTTCTCTCTGGAATACATCGATTCACCATGGTACTCATCAAACTCTATACCAAGCCTAATAATAACATGATCAGATTGATTGATTGAATGATTTATTGCTTAATCAGATTAATCAGATAATTAATGAATGAATGAATGAATAAATCAAAAGATCAATCAATCATTAGTTTAAGATGGTTTTATTTGAGATACGACTAGAAACCCAAAAATAGATCAGATAGGAAATTAAACATTAACAATAGTATTTACTTAAAATGTTTTACTTAAGTTACAAAAGGCTGAAATAAAAGTAAAAGATAAAAGTTAGAGGTCTTACCTTGAATAAATGGATTTAAGTTCTTTAATAGATATTTTTCTAAAATAATTCCATATTTTTAACAACTCAGGGTCCCCGCTCTCCAACTGAGAGAACTTTAAACGAGCCTAAAAACAAATTAAAAATAAATATCTTATTAAAAAAGCGCGCGACATTTATTAATTTTTACTTATCTTGTAAGTAATACGTGAAGTCGCCCTTAAAGTTTCAAAAATGGCAAATATTTTTTCCATTACATTTTTTACATACAGGGTTACCCACAAAGAATGAGACTTTAATGAGGACCTGGAATTTTTCTAAATATTATAATTAATTATAAAAAGTGATCTAATTTCGGTTTTCTCTGTAGTCTCATCCTTTGGAACTATGGCGCGATCAAATAAATTATGCTAAGCAACGCCCAATTAACAACGATACCCTAAAAGCTTTGTCTGAATTGGTTATACAAGTTTGTTTTTCTTCAAACTGTTTATTTCCATTTGCGGGTTTCTCTGCGAATGTGGCTTGCCTTTTTTTGTTTTTAAGAATCATTGGAGAAATTCACAGATATTAACACTTTTCGAGTCAGAAAAACGACGGTATCCTCCATATTTTTGTTCAGATTGAGTTTTCAAGGGTACCGTATTTGAAATTACGCTTAGTCCAAATATGGCTTCATTCGATTTTCAGAGCAAAATGACAAGATGTCTATTGTCTATCCAATTCTAGCTGAATATGAGGAACCCAAACAAAAAATAAAACATATTTCATTATGAAAACAGACATCTGTAAATTTTAAAATAACATAACCTTATCTTTAAAAGACTGATCTGATTCTCCTAGTTGATTGGAATCCACGTAGATCTTTAGCATTCTCTTCAGTGTATCCTCCTACTTTCAACAGATAGAAAATATTTCAATTATTATCATTTATTGAAATACTTAGAATAATTTCTAAAAATGCCATGAAAAAGTAATAGTATAACGTGGAAGGAATGTTGTTGTATGTGTCATACTAAATCAAAATAAACCCTATGCTGTAATTTGTATGTATAGATTATTATCTCTGAAAATATTCAAAATATTACATTTTTGAATTGCAGCAGTTACAAAGTAACAAATTACAAATCCTTCTAAAGACTTTTATTCCACTTTTTATTGTATATGACTGGAGTTATAGGGATCATCTGAATATTTGCGTCTAAATTGAAATATTTTATTGTCAACCTGGAACCATTGCAGAAGAAGTTTAGGCAATTAAAACAATTATTCTCTTGAAAAATGAAAAAGGAGATGTTTTGATTTTTTCCGATATTAAATTTGATGTTTTATAAGTTTTAGAAAACAGAACTTTAACAAAATTAAACATTCTTTAATTATTTCCATTTATTAGCTTCCTCAAAGTATTCTATATCAACGTTAAAGTGTTCTATTCCAGCCATTAGAAATCCAAACTGGGTTCCCCAGTCACCCAGATAGTTAATTTTTCTCACACGATGACCTTAACGATAACAATATCAATAATTACAACAGTAACAGCAACAGTAACAGTAACAGGAACACAGTAACAGGAACACAGTAACAGCAGTAACTATTAATGTAACTGTAACTGTAACTGGTAACAGTAAAAATGTTGTTAAAACAACAATAACAACAATAAAAAAAAACAAATAACAATACAATAATAACATCAATAACAAATTAATAATAATAATAGAAATGTATTTCGAACCTCCCCAAGAATATAAAGAAAAAAAGAGGTTTATATGAAAATTTAAAATTTGATACTTTTTACCCCAAAAACAACGAATTTCCCTGAAAATTGTTTATTTCCGTAATTCCTAAAAAATACTGGGGTAACAAAATAATATTCATCAATGGTGGAACAAAGGTTTTACAAAAAATACACCCATAGAATTAAATCTCACCAACAGCTTGATGAATATTAGCGACAAAATTGCCGATAATCGTCGACCGGAAGTGGCCGATGTGAAATGGTTTAGCAATATTCGGTGAACTGGAACCAGTTTCTTGTCAAAACATTTTTTATAGTCAACGTTTTCAATTCAAATATTAAAACTGGAAAAGCAATAGAATATTTAAGAGACTCATAAGAATAAATGTCTAAAGGAAATAAAATAAGCGATATCTTTCTTTTCAAAAGGAGGCCGAGCGAGTAGAAAAATTGCACGTGCAGCGTTTAAATCTTTTGGGGAAATCATAAACTTAAAAAATAGTACAATATACTATATACACTTGCCACTTAAGAGAAGAAAACAAAAGTCCTTAAATTTGTTAAAAATTTACTTGTATACAGAAAAAAAGCATGACGTATAATCTTTCAAAAAAAAAATCTTTTTACAGTGGAATATTTTCTAAAAATATACCACTGTAAAACTTAAAAACAATTAAAAGAAAGGGAAAAGTTTGTTATATATCAAGAAGTTGTTGTTAGTCCCACACAACAATTCTCTTTTTGTTTCTAGTTTTCTAGTTTTCAACAAGTTTCCTGAATTCTATAATTACATTTCTAGTTTCCTCCTCCTCAAACAATGAGTTCCGACTCCACAAATACCTAGAATATTTATCCATTTACGTCACAATGTTAAAGGGACATTAGACTTAATTTCAAATAATTTCCTATTTAATGAGTGACGTGTCCGATAGGTTACCCCAAAAAAAAGACCAAGTTGAGAAATTTTTTTGATGCAGGCCGGAATGAAGTAACATTTAGTCAAACAAATTCACGAATTTTTTTTTTTTTTTTGGATCGGACAACTGCACATTTACCGTCTGATATGCTTTTCAGAAGTATACACATAGAGTCTAAATAGCTCAAAAAAAGTATTTCTTGAATTTATAATGTCAAGTATCCTTTTCTTCGTAATTGTCTAAAAGATTAAATCCATTGAAAATTTTGAAAAATTTCAAAAAATTACCGAGTTAGACCGAAAAAACCGTCAAAAATGCTTGTTCTTAGGATAGTACACTTTTTTGGAGTTTTTTTTTTTAAAACCTTAGTCAGTCATTTTTTAAAATTTTTCAAAAATTTCAATGGATTTAATTTTTGTAGACGATAATGAAGAAAATTATATATGACAAGATACATTCAAGAATTATTTTTTTTTGAGCTATGTAAATATTTCTGAAACATGTCACTTCATTCCGGTCTGCATCACACAAATACACGGTGCTAGTTCAGATATTGGACATTGAAATGTTAAAATCATTTCTTTAAAACTTTAAAACTAGAATATCTTTTCAACTTTTTGATTAAACAAAGATAGTTTAATCGGTACCATTGTGAATGGGCCAACACCCTCTTTACAGATTTCTTCCGTTTTTGTAGTGTATACGATAGAGAAACTGGATTTAATCTGAATTTCTATTTTTATCGGATTTTTCCGAGATATAGTTCGTTTCTGGATATCGGAAAGGGGTTCCATAATGTGATAAAAATTAAAAAACATCTGTTACATTTATTCTTAACCCTATTCCTGCTTGGGGGGGGGGAGTCAATTTGACCCCCCCCCCCCCCGTAGTTTTTTTACATAACTAAAAAAGTATTGGTCTGAGGCTGTTGAAATTTTCTGACTTTTCCTACATACCCAAAGCCCTCCCTTTAGGCCTAAAACTGGGCTTTAATACTAACTGCCTGAGTCCTCAGGCACACTGCCTGAATGACTGTTTTTTCCTGTAACAACAAAATCTTTGTTTTGACACACTTCCACTTGTCAAATTTTGATAAAATTTAGCTTTTAGGAAAGCCTTTGCAAACAACCTGTCAAAGTAAATTTGCACATTTATAGTTTTTCTTGATTAAAAATCAGGTTATTTAAAATTTTGCAAAAATTTTTGCATACTTGAAATGGCATGGTCAAGGGCTTTTCAAAAATGTAAAATTTTCCATTTTTTGAACAAATTTTTTTTTGCAAATATTTTTACTATTTAACTAGATTTTGCGATAAAAATTCAATTTTTGCAATTTTTTTTTGTTTTGCAGATTCTAAAAGTAAAGCACAAGAGCTTTCTAATGATGTATCATTTGTCATATTTGGACATCAAACATGGGATTTAGAGGGGGGGGGGGTCAAATTGAACCCCCCCCCAGCATATCCTGGTTTTCAAGTACCCCACCAGAGATAGGGTTAATGATAAAGTATTGCTTGAAGTTAACATCAATAACAGATTATAAAGTTATTACTATTAGAAGAAATAATGCCGTAGTAGCCTAGAATAGATTTGACGACGAAAAAGGGTGTACACATTTGAAGAAATTGGATCAGGATTAGGAAGAAAGATATTGAAATTAAAAAAATCTAAATCCTACCCCTTTGGCCAATGTGCAGTTGTTTTCAGCACCTCCGCTTGGAAACATTTATTGTCCAAGTAGAATTTAACACTAGAACTATCCCCCGCTATACCCACTGTGAAATCTGTGTCCCCCTCCATGCCCTCGGTGGTCTCTGGGTATGATTTCACCAGGTTTGAGAGTAAGCTAGGCGAGAAGTGAGGAATAACATTGCTCTTCAGGGATAAACAGATTCTGAAAGTAAATCTATAAATATTCCATATTTAATATTTATCATTATATACTAGAATATATGTTGCATTTTGAAAATTTGGAAATTTTCATCCTTTTTCCAATCCGACGAAAAAATCCATAAAATTTTTATTCCGCTCAATAAGTGGGGGATGGGGGTAATTGTTTAAAGTAAATATACAATATAATAACAAAAATATACAATTATCTTGTCCGATTGAGTAATATTGATTATGTAATTATAAAAACTAATCTTGTATAAAATATTTGATCACTTAATTAACTTGTTAGCGTGAAAATAGTTCCAACCTGGATTGTTTTTTCTCCAAGTTGAGTTGGCCTGCCAGTTTTCTAACATCTGTTCCATCAACATCCATTTTTAGATTCCTAAAATAATTATTTCTAGGTTTTAAATATAACTACTGATTTATGCTTCATTATAAGGTTTAAATTATCTATCTAATAATGCAGCAAGCCGTTTATTTAACGGGATAAGGAGATAAATTGCTGTTCAACCCTTCATCCGAAAACCCAAAATCATGATTGAATTATTTTTCAACCAACAATTATTATAAATTTTCAGGAAATACGAACATGAAGGGAGTGAATTTTGTGAAAATGCGCAAAATACCTGAGCGTATTAATAGTCTGCGAAGCGATAATATTTCTAAATTTGGCCGCCATTATTCTGAAATGCAGGGAACACATTAATACACAACGATGGGTTATAACAAAATAAAAGAACACATTACTAAGGTTCTGAAACAAATCATTTTTTTATTTTTTATATTTGATGATTTGATTTTTTTTATTCTCTGCATTCAACAGGATTTCATCTTCTACCAACGCCTCCGGTCATCGTACCTTTAAAAAAAAAACAATCTATAAATCAACGAAAAATGATGGTGTAGACCTTTAAAATTTCAAACTTTAATAGAAAAGACAGAATTTATAGGGACTACGACATAAGTTTAAAAAATGCGAGGATTAAAAAAATAGATGTTGTTGAAAGAATTCAGTTATCCTCATTTATAATAATACTTCTGACTTTAAACTTCGAGATTTTAAAGGTTTTCAGATGGTTTCATGCTGATATTGTTATATAAAGGAACTGAAGACATGATTTCAAGTGATGTTTATTGTTTACCTGCTGCTCCGGTCCCTGGACCTGGACCTGTCCCTGGTATCTCGTCTCCTGTCGTCACGTCTAATGAGGAAATGGAAAAGGTGATAATGGTGTCAACTAAGTTATAATGGAAAATTGGTGTCAGTTGACACTGAGATAAATATCAGCTATGACATGGAAAGGTGTCACAACTTGGTAAAGGGGCTGGCTCACTTGGGAATAAGGTTTCAGCTTTTATAGTTCTGATAGGCTGGATATTTGGAAATGGATATGATCAGCTGGATATTTCGAAACGGATGAAACCGTATTCTTCGCATTAAAATCTTTAGATTTTTAAAAACATTTGGGATTTGCTTTTTTGCATATTAATGTGATTTTAAAAATGGAACGTGGCGTGGGAAAAGTAACTGCATTGTGTAGAATGTGGTGTTGATTTTTATCTGTAGAGCAGTAGGGGTGGAGGAAAGGGTCAAGTCCTGATGATTTGGTTGGTTCACAGGGGGTTTGTACTGTGTAGAAAATGGTATGGGTATTGGGAGAAGGAAGTACGGAAATATAGGTTTGACTCACTGTTATGAATTTGATTAAAAAATTGGGTGAAATCGGATGATTTGATTAATAGTTCACTATTATCGTATATTGGGTAAGGTTTACACTGGTAGAGCAGATTGTGGAAAATGGTTGGGGTCGGGGTTAACTGACCAGGAAGGAGGGATTGTGGGTAGGAACTTAGGAAGGCAGGAGTGGGGTGAATGTGAAGGTAGGGGTAGGGAGGGGTTGATAACAGTCGCCCTGCAAACCAAGAAATGTTACAAATTGTTAATTCATTACATAACCTAATGTTACATCTGTATTTAGCATAGGGTTACATACAAGTAGAGATGAGAAGCAATAGCTTATAAGAGATCATTCTTATTATTTTACATTTTAACTTCTTACAGCCATCGTATGATAAACGACTGGATGTTTAAATTATATGAAACCTAGTTTAGTACAGTTTATAGTCATGTAGTAGTTATGTGGTAGTTAGGTAACATTTATGTAACATTTCAGAAGTGCTTAGGATCCATTTAATTTTGATGCGGATCCGGATTTGGATCCAGGTCATTTCTATAAGATTTACTGAATATTTTTAACAAAAAATAATTTTCAAATTTTTTGTTTTATTTTTTTTTTCGCATAATTTTATCTTTAACTTGATGAACCATTCAGAAATGAGGAAATTTTTATAATCTCTCTTTTTTTCAAGATTTTGGTTTTAGGAGTAAAAAAAATTTTTTTTTTGCAGTTTTTAGTTGATATTTTACCCCCTGGATCCGGATGCCAAAATCTTGCGGATCCGGATCCTAAGCACTGCATTTCAGAATTTTATTTGACTAGCAGGGCATGAGAGGGTAACAATTACATATCAGACAAAGGAAGGGGGATAAAGGGGCTCTAGGGGGTTGATAGAGTCAGGAGTAGAAAGGGATTGGTGTTTGGTAGTTGAAAGGCAGGAAAGTGGTTTCCAGGGAGTTGGGAGTAGATAAAGGGGAGTATTTTATAGGCGGGGTGTGAGAGTGCAGATAGGAGGAAAGAAGTATTCACTGGCAGGCAACTGCAGTCCGAGGGTAATGCTTATATTGAAAGTAGATTAGGGAGCATTCACATATGGAAAGAGACTTCAAAGTGGAGAGGGAAGAGGGGAAAAGGAGGGGATAACCAAGAGCGAGGCACCAACAAGAACTGGGAAGTTTCCAGATTTCAGACTGGGGGACTTTGTGAAAAATTGGCAAGATATTGGTAATGGAAATTTGGCTTTAGGTAATCCTAAAAATATACAAATTAATAATGGGACAATAACAAAGTAGAACAAAATTAAATTAAATTTAAAAACTACCTTGTTTCATTTTTAGTTTACATTCAAGAACATTTGTTTTTAGTATAAAAACTAAAGAAATTGTTCAGATTGAAACAGATCTAATAAATGGAGAAAGGCATCAAATCAGGCCTATCCCAGTTTTCAATCAACTTTCATAGAAATGCAGAAAGTCTTGTATAAATATCTAAGGGTACAATATCACATTACTCATCCTAAAGTTAACCTGGACACCTGAGATTATCCATTTTTAATCCCCCTTCAATAATTAGTACTTACCACAATATCAAATTGGTTCAACCATGCTTGATAATTAATTATTAACTTCGGTCCCAGATAAATTTGAAAGTTTACGGCAAAAAGTTCAGGTTTGAATTAATATGAAAACTTTCAAGGTTTGTTTAGATATAAAGTTGCTGTTTTACAACAGAACATTGACTCTTATGGGTTCATGTCTAGACACCCTTCCTTAATCTAATCAAAATATTTTCTTTACTCACCTTTCTGAATCAGCGAGTTCCACGGCAACGTTGATCAAACTTTTGGCAATTGCCACTTGTTCAGGAGATCCAAAAATCTCTACACAAAACACATTTCAAATATTAAAAACTGTGCGAAAAAAATCAATATTTAAAGAAAGTTATGCTGAAAAATCAATACAAAGAAATATTTCGAGTTTCCCAATTAATTAATGTTATTTTCAGTTTCAAGAATATAAATAATTGTAATTCCCCCTTTATAGTTATATAGTTTAACAGAATTTGATATTTCGAATATTTTTCTGAAGATTTAAAAAACAATTGAAAACTTAGCTATAAAGAAGATTCAACAGCCAGAGAATAAATTCACTGCTGTTTTAATTTTTTTTGTAAAAAATTATATTTAAAATAAAATATAAAAAAAATTTCATAATTGAATTTATTGGTATGTTTATGTTCCTATGACCCTCTCTCTATCCGGATCTCCGACAAACTCTCGTTTATCCCCCCTCTTAGAACCTCCGGAACCTGGGTAGCAGAGTTAAAGAGACTATTCATGTAATTTAACACGCTCATACTTAACAGAGATAAATGGATTTTTGATTGATTGCTAGTTAAACGAAAGTAATTCCAAGATGATTCTTTAATTTAAAATTGCTGCCAACAATAAAAACAGTTTTTTTAACCGTCTGCTGAGGCCGCATCGATATTTTTTTCTGAATGAGTTCTATGCTATTGATCTCAGATAAACGGTTTTGAATTGTTAAAATGACAAAGCGCGTTACTTCAAGTGACCCTCCATGCAAAGGTGGTATATTGCCGGCTTCCCTATGGCGCCCTAAAAAGTTTTTTTTCTGATCAAGTCTGAATTAGATATCAATGTTGATAATTTTGAAACCTGATTTTCAATAATGATTTCTCTACAAAAGTGACTTGTGCATTTCGAATGAATTAAAACATATAGGATTTAACACTTTCAAACCTAGAAAAAAATCTTCCAAATTATTTATCAGATAAAGATTTCTAGGGTACCGTTGTGAATGAAGGATTACTTGAAAATACGTTTAAAATCCCTTTCATGACATCTGTCTGTTTGTATCCAATAAACGTCAAAACGGCTGAACCGATCGGGCCCAAATTTTTTGTGGGACATCACATGACCACAGGGAAGGTTTATTAATGATAAAAATTTAAAAAAATGTGTTTTAAAGGTTTATAATTTTGTAAAAAAATTTAATTCTTGAAAATCCACGAATTTTTTTTTAAAATTCCGCAATAATTTTTCAGCCTAGTAATTTAAAAAACTCACCAACTTCCGTGATGTTTATGCTTGCTCCAGACATACTACGTATTTCATTGATCTTACATCCCTAACATTCATTCAGTCAAATATTTTTACGAATGAAAAAACTAAATAACGCATAAATAAAAATTATTATTTCTTGTAGTTTATAGATTTTCAATACAAAAACAATATATTTGTTGTAAAGGAAAGTGGGCACAGAAGAAATCTTTCAACAAAATATGAACCCCTGGAAGACATTGTAAGTAGACCGATAATGGTAATTAATTAATAAATAACGCCAGTAAAATTAAATATCAAGAATTCCAGTTTACCTTCGATGGAAAATATACTACTTCCCCTTGTCATTTTCTAAAATGGTTTCTTGGACACAATAACAACTACAACAACAACGGAAAGATTATAAATTATGAATTATGAATTCCTTTTTGCCGATGATGGACCCAACTTGATCATTAGAAACAAACATCTCATGCTTGACTTCACGATCTCTAGATAAACAAATAAATCAAAATTTAAAAAACTGACAGTGAGAAACAGAACTGTTAAATGTTAAGACGACATTGCACCAATATTAAATTTTATTGACGATGATAAAAAACACATTGAGTTCATACAAAGCTCTAAAATCACGTTATAAAATTTTCTAAAAAAAAGTATTCAATAATTAAAAGACCCAATATCCAACATCTTTATCAATTATTTATTAAATAGATTAAATAACTACTGATAGAAACAATTATCAACTCGATCGTATTAAGACTCTACCTTGTCCTGTTTCCTCCGTCGTGCCTCCTGGCGAAGTCGATGATTGCGTCGAAGGGTGAAGCTCCGATCCTATCGGAGACCATATCCGACCTACCCCGGCCTCGGGGCTCGTATTCATTCCTCTCGTGATAACTAAACAGAATCTTTATCTTTATTTTTTGTCAAATCTCCGAAAATTATCAAATAAAATGCGCTAAATTGAATCTAAGCCCGATCTATAAATTAACATTTCAGTGAGATTATTGAGTTTTCTGGGCTCTTGAAATTACCAAATAAAATCTTAAACATGTAAAAATAGAAAACAAAATTCGGGAAGCCACCTTCTTGCCTTAAAGATTTAAATTGTGTACATTGCACAGCCGAAACGAAAAAACGAGTACGGAAAATTGACAATTTTCAATTCATGGTTTCTCTTTAAAATTGCCTCAAGTGAGAAAATGATTTTTTTTTAGAATTTAAACTTCTAGATAAAAAGAATCTTACTAATTGTTAATAAATCAAACAGTCTTTTGAATTGAACATTGCCAAAAAAATGACGCGGAAATAAAGAATTGTCAAATATGAGAAGCATGAGAAATGCATTTATCCCACCTGTCCCGGTAGTTACGAACTCCATAATCTCTGTCCCTGAAATAATACAACATAGAAACATTAGAAGGTCAGCGTATATCGTAAAAAGCGTAAAATCGCATTCTTATTGGCTGACAGTAGGACCAAAAAAACTAGAATAGGAAGACAACTGTTTGACCCATTTCACTTAAATTGTTGATTTGAAAGCAACTATTTTCATTTCAACAAGATGTAATACTAATATACTATTACTTATACAAGGTAACTTTAAGATCTCATGGTTTAACTAAATCTTCTGCATTAGAGTTTTTTATGGCTTAAATAATGCATTAACAAAGAGAGAAATAAGATTACAGTTTGAAAAAAATCTCATCCTCTTTGAGAAACCCTGTAACATTATTAAATTGTCGTCTTCCTATTACACAATTTTACGAGTCCCATGTAGGTCAAATGTGAAAGCTGAAATAATTGTTTCCTTGGTATTTTGTAAACAATGACAAAATAATAATCAATGTTCGGTTTCTATTTAATTTATGATTTGATAGTTTTGGGATCACCCCCCCCNCGGTCCCTGTCCCTCTGATGGTCTCGTGATTCCGGTTTGTATAAACGAACATCAACTAATCAATCAATCAATAAACAAATCAATCAATCAATCATTTATTATCTCATTATCTCGGAAGGTTGTTAACGGGTTGGGCTAATTGGATCACAAATGCGCGGCTCTAGGTTATTAGATCAAAAATCTTAATATTTTGATTTTTATGATTAAAATATAATTCATTTTAAAATAAATTCCCTCGCAAATAAAGGATACCGGTTGCGACGTTTATACTCAAGGGGGAGGGCGTTGCACGTGGAATTTTAAAACTCTTTTAAAAAATTATATATTTTATATAAATATATCTGATAAATAAAAAACAGATTGTTTTTCCATTTTATTGCTGTTCAAATTATTTCGTGTTTTAAACACTCCTCGGCTGCATGAATTATATATTTATATATATATATATTTGAGCGAAAAGCTTTCTTAATTAGATTACCTTTCGGAGGATGTTCCATCAGAATACTGCAGATATGGAATATACATTTAGTAATCTGTTCTCTTTTACCCCTTATCTTCATTTCCCTGAATATAAGAAAAATATACATAATAATATACATAATTAGAAAGAAATAATCCACATTTAATCAGGCGACTGTTCACAAATATATCTCTGTCAATTTCAAAAAAAGCAGACCACATTTTGGAAATGGCAGGATTAGATTTATCGTTTATCATTTCATCAATCATATTTGTAAAATTAGATTGTAAATTCGTCTGATTAGTGTAAACTTATTCCGTATACTCTATATATTTAATATTTCATCCTCCCCCCTCTTCTCAATTGTTTTCTTCAGATATTGTGCGCTTTTACGTGGAGAAATAAAAACAAATAGAAAGTGAAACAAAATGCCTTTTCATGTCTGACTATTCATAAGTTCTACTGAATTTCTAGATAGAGAAATCAAGTATCAAAATAATGAATAAATTTTTGTTATGATGGAATGAAAAATAAGGATGAGTTAATTCTAAACTAACAAAGAAAGGAATTAATTTATTAATAATTAAATAAGAAATAATATTTCTGATAGGAACCCCATATATTCCTTAAATGGGCTGGGGCTGTAAAGTGTAAGTGTATATGTAATTGGCCATCCATACCAATATGGCAATGCGAGATTTACAACGTTAACCCTGAAACCTTCATCTAATCAATAATGTGGAAGATATTGTCGTTAATCTAGTCTGATAATTGGATTTCCTGCAGTAGAAATGCGCATGTCACAGTTGTTGAGAACCCGCTATTTAAATTGATCTGTTTTCAAAATTATAAAACTAATTCATTCTTGATAAGAAAAGGCTTTTAAGGGGACCGTGGTAAATCGGACATTGCCATCACTTTAGGCTAAGAATGTAGAAATTTGTTTAGGGCTCAGTTGAGACCTTTGAAACGTTTTTTACGGTGCTTATTTGTTCAGCAATAGCGCAAATTCAATCGTTAAAATCCTCATATTGTTCAATTTGGAGAGATGTTTTTGAGAATCTTTTCTTTAACTATTCAATAACGACGATGAAAAATGTTACAATAACTATACACTATACAGTTAACTTATTAATTAACTTATCAGAATGGAGAATCAAGGAGGATTTTTAAGATTGAATCTTAAACAATTTCTCAGCATTGTCACTTGTCAGATCAACTTCTATGTCTACGTCTAGCCGCCACACCCTCCCTTAAAACTAGGCTTACATTTCCTTTAATATCAATCATTCTACAAAATATTTGAATAATTCATTAAAATATATATTTTCCTCGTAGCTACTCGTTTACCTCTCCGAAGAACCTGGAAGAGGATCAGATGAGATATTGATATCTGCTCCAGTCTCAGCTCTACAATAGTCAATAATAAAATCATTTCATTTTGATGCAGATCAGGGTCCGTATCCGGGTCTTAAACATTTCTTTAAAATCTACTGAATTTATGAACAACACAATTTTCAAATTATTTGTTTTCTTTTTCGATTATTTTCAAGCTAAAACTTGATGAACCATTCAGAACAAATAATATTTTAATAATCTCTCTTTTTTCAACAGTTCAAATTTAGGTTTTAAGAGCAAAAAGTTTTTCGTTCTTATTTTGTACCTTGGATCCGGATCCGTAGATCCGCATTTTTTTGGCGGACCCGGATTCAGGAAGCCAAAATGTTGCGGATACAACGGTTCAAATATAATTTTTCAATCCGGATCCGGCTCCAAATTTGAATTATTAGCCGACAACCCATCTTTCAATAAAATAGGGGTCGCCGCCGAAGTGTATCCATGGACCTAACAGTCACAGCTTACTGTGAATTCTAATACTGACGCCCATCAGACAAAAAAGCATCCTGAACCGGTTACATTATCACACTTTGATGTATATCCGCATCAGAATCCCTCCGGACAAAAATGCATCACATTTTCATGGAAAATTTAAACGTGTTAATTTCTAGTTTAAAAAAAAACTATCCAACACAGAAACGTCCTCATTTATAAAACGAACCGCGAAGAAAAAAAATTATTTAGGAAATTTGTAATAAAACTAAATATAACTCAAATGTTTACTGAAAAATGCTTGCAACTAAACCTTATTTAAAAAAAATTTACCTAATTTCCTTAATCTTCTCCCCGCCCTTTCCTATAATTACAATTTAGAACATATTTTAAACAATATTTCAATATTAACATATAATTTGTGTGAATGTTATGTCGCTGTAAAACTTATGCACTATTTAATAAAAAAAAGTATTCTGCAACATAGAGAGACACAGATAAGAAAGTACGTAAAGAAACTAAAACAAAAAAACTCTAGAATTAAGATAAAACTGAAGATAAAATTCTATTCTAAATGTTTCCTATGAGAGCTCCAACTTGAACTGCTGGAACTAGAACCTTGAGATTCAATTCATCTGGATCAGGAGTTCCAGACCTATTTCATTTAACAATGAATACCGAAGCTTCAGAAAATGACACTTCCCCCAGTCCCACCCATCTTTCCATTTAGTTTCCAAATTTCCCTTTTAGTTTCTGCTTTCATCGTAGATTTCACTTTTCTTTATTTCTCCATTCCCCATAGGTTTCCCACTACACCCTTCCTTTATTATCCTTACCTGTTCCTGGATTTTTCCTTGTCCTCCCTTTTCTCTCTTTGCTCCAAAACTTTGCATATCATGGTGTACGCCTAAATATAAAATCAGATATTCAAATCTAAAAAAAAAAAATAAAAGCAACGTCCCAATCAAACCAGATAAAACTAGGTGAAACCAGACCACATCTGAGCTGGGAACTTTAAAATGGTGGATATCGGGATTAATGCTTGATCCACTCTTTTTCTTAATCTCCAGATTAAATATTGCTTGTTCTCCTCTTGTTATTAATCTTCAGAATAATTAACCGATCGAGATAAAGGGTATCCCATTCTGAAGTTTTTAACTCTGATGAAATCATGTCAAACCAAAAACATTAAACCAAACCAAACCACTTTTCATTAAACCAAACCAAACCACTTCACATTAAACCAAATCAAGTAAACCATGTCAACCAACAAACTTAGTCAAAACATTCAAATCACGTGGATCAATCAGTAAAAATCAAACCGAATTTACTCAACTCAATTATGATTACCTTGAAAATGGAATCGGTTTTCCCTCTCACGGTGATTATTCTCTCGAGCTGACTGTCCCCCTCGATATTTACTTGAGCCTGGGATTCAGCTCGAATATTCTTCACGGTCTCTCCCTTCCTTCCGATAATAGATCCGGCCTCAGGACCTTGGGAGAAATCAATTAAGCAATCAATATATCAATCAATCATTAAATCAATAAATCATTTTATCAATCAATCATTTTTTAAATCAAGCGTGTTATCAACCAATCAATCATTTAATCAATCAATCAATAATTCTATCAATCAATTATAATACTTATCAAACATTTTAACAAACAAACATTTAATCAACCAATCATTTTATTGAAAAAATCATTTTATCAATCAATCAATATAAAATCTATCATTATGTCAATCAACCATTATATCAACTCCTCAACAAATATGTTGTATAATATCTGCCGGATACAGTTTAAACGCATGTTTTGAAATGGTACTCGATATTAAGTTTCATTCTTTTAAATAACAAATACCTGTTACAATACTGCGAATTGCTATGGGGTCTCTGTCATCATCATCCATCTTGATATCATCACGATCCGCTTCATCAGACGACATACTTAACGCTAGTTATCTGAAATAGAAATATTTTTATTAGAATCAGATTCTAATAAGAGTTCTGATAAAACATAATAAGTACTTAGTAGAATAAGGAATATTAGTTAATAAGATGGTTTCAAAGTGTCCATAAGAAGGAAGTTTTGAACCACTGGTTCTTTAAATAGTTTACATGCGCCTTAACTGAAACATATGGGTAAAGTACTATTTCTAGTCCGTCCATTTCGCCACAAACCACAACGGGGAGGGTTTCAAAATCGGTTATTTCCAAAAGAAAAAACTGCCGAACTTAAGACAAATCGATTCGATAGAGAAGGTTTAAAAGCGGCTGCGGAGAAAAAGGCTCTTTAGGATACAAAAGCTTTGCACCATTGTAACTTTTGGAGAGTCAAAAGTGTCAAAACCAAGAATGCGGGTAATTTCCTAGAGAACGATTTTTGGACCCCTACTCCCTTCTATCAAATTTATACATTTATAGCATTGGTCATGTGGCCGCAGCGCTCGGCCACATTACCTTTCCTAGCCGCCGCGATCGGCCCGGAAATTGTCTAAACCTAACCTAACCCTGAATAATAAAAAATAGTAATAATTTTGATGAAGAATAAGTGGTCATGAATAAATTGAAAGGAGGGGTAAGGTGGGGGGGTCTAAAAATCGTACTAGGACGGACCCCGTTATATAAGTAACCCTCAATTTCTGGATTGGTATGTTCAATCCCCACAACGGTGCCCCCCGGTAAACCTCTGAGTCGAGTCCTTGCTGAAAATCGACAAAATGAGTGGTCATTTTAAAGAACGTCTACAGGCCCTTTATTAGTAAGCGTGTAAACATTATCAATGAATTAATTGAGAAAGTGTGAAGTAGCAACTTTTTCGGCAAATTTGTAAATCCTCTGAATAACGTAACGTTATTAAAATAAAAAACGTTTGCGGCATGTTCCATGGGATTGGGGCATTGCACGCATATGCTATATCATCAGAACTACGAGACAAAAATTTCCGAAAAGTAAATTAATAAATCCCATAATTTTCATTAAATCGACTACAAAAATTGGAAAATAATAATTTCTTTACATTTTGAATTTTGCAAAAAAATAATTTATAAAATTAAGGTTTTAATAGTTCAGATGATATACAACACTGTTCGATTGAAGAAGATTGGAACCGCCAAGTCCGCCAACAGTTCAAAAAAAAATCATAACAATTTAAATCTTGAAATTAATGTTTTTGAATTCTAATTTTGCAGATTCAAAAGTTAACAGTTAGTATTATGTTATGTCTCACTGCATGCCCACTTCGCCGCGCCAAACTCTAAATTTGTTACTGTTTGTTTTTAAAAACGTCTTCAATGAATTCATTAAATTGCCAGGATGATTACTGTCCAATTTAATAATGGTTCCAGAACACTAAATACGGTATATTCCTAGAGAACGATTTTTGGACCCTCCCCCCCTCCTATCAATTTTGTACATGGATCTTATATGTTAGACATTGATATAATTGACCCTTAGGCCGCAGCGCTCGGCCCAGAAAGTGTCTTAACTAATCTAACCCGTGGCCGCAGCGCTCGGCCCCCTAGCCCATCCTAGCCGCAGCGCTCGAGGCCCAGAAAGTGTCTTAACCTAACCTAACTCTAAATAATGCTAAATATTAAATAAATACTAATTTCGTCATGTACAAAATTGATAGGAAGGGGGGGGGGTCCAAAAATCGTTCACTAGGACAGACCCCTAAATACTGAGCGATTATATTTTTTTATATTAATTTTTGCATTTATCTATTGTAGTAGTCTTAATAATATGTCTAAAAGTCTCTAGCTTATTTTTGTCAAGGAGCTGTTTTGTTATTTTTCATCTCGTAAATCTTTATATAGAGAGTAAATTGCGTTAAGCAATTTCATTGATAAGTTTTAGCATTCGTGCATTTCCATATATATATTTTTAATGTACGTTTGAACATTTATTCACAATACTGTATTTGTATTTTTTCGATTAATAAAAGTTTGAAGAAGAAGTTTTTAATAACTTTGGCGTGCAGGCGTCTCAAAGGGTCTGTCCTAGTGAACGAGGAACTATTTAATGATTTCCATCTAAATTAATGATATCAGCAAAGAATATGACCCATTTGGATCTTTAACTAAAATAATTATGTCCAAGCATTCAGGCACTAACATAAAGGTGGTTGAATGATATTCCAAGGTTCGGTTTTTTATCCGACTTAAATATCTAAATAAAAATTTGAAAATGCAAGAAAGTGTCAGAAATCAGAAAGAGAGAAAATCTATCACTTCCTCTAAGAGACGAATTGGCTCAAAGTACAGGAAAGAAATTAAAAGAAACCCAAGCCTTAATTCAAAGCTCATGTTTGTTTCAGATAAACTTTTTTAAAACAAGCTATGTCCTCATCAAGTGGTAAAAAGAAACCATTTAAGGTAAATAATTTGGATATAAAGAACCCGTTGCAAGTAAGACATTTTGTAATATCTCTGTAAATATTAATAGTAGCCGGTTCTATTTTTGAATTTAGACTCATATAATTGCCTAGGAGTAAGATATGAAGTCAGATTACCGATATCTCTTTCCGGAAACTTGGCACTTCTGAAAAGTGGCTCGGCTCCGATTTTCATTTCTTGCCTTGTTGGACTTAAAGAGCCCATTTTTAATATATACTCCCAATGGCCTCTAAAATAAATGGAAAAAAATCCTCAATTTTTTTATGCCAAAACAGGGTGTCAAAAATTGTGTTTTTTTGATTTTTTTTAAATGCAAAAAGTGTCATGTCTGATAAAAAATATCACAGGAAAAGAAAAGAGAAAATATAATTTATGTTATTATTTAACACATTGATGAACAAAAAAAAATTTCTAAAAAATTACTTTTTGTGGACTACGGGGTATTATATATTTTTTTTGGGACAAATCACACTTTTTTTGGCATTTTCCGCCCTAATATAGATGGTGGCCAGTTCTAATTAAACAATAGTGACTGGAACCTCCGAAAAGTTACCTTCATTGCTCCGGTTTTATTTCCGGCATCGTTGGACTTAAATAGCCCATTCTTTAATATATACTCCCAAAGACCCCTAGAATACATGTTAAAAAAAGACATTTCCTCAAGTTTTTGATGCCAAAACAGGGTGTCAAAAAAGCGTTTTTTTATTTTTTAATGCAAAAAGTGACAATTGTTTTTATTAAAAATGTTGCAAGAAAAGAAAAAAGCAAATATTATTTATATTATTATCTGAAACATGGTCAATTAAAAATTTAAAAAAAAAAAAAAAAATTTAGTGTGCTACGGAGGGTGTTTTAAGTATTTTGTTGACGAATTGACTTTTTACATTACATTTAGATGCGTGGCCGGTTCTAATTACCTAGGAGCAGGATATGAAGCCAGATTACCGATATCTTTTCCTGGAAACTTGGATCATCTATAATGTGACCCTCATCGCCTCTGATTTTTTATCAGACAAAAGACATAAAAGCCTTTTTTATTTACACTTCACGCTTCCAATGGCCCCAATCGTAAACCTCTTCAAAGTGACCTTTATTTTTCTAATTTTATCTCCGGACTCGGTATAAATAAATACACCAGACTATGCATATACACTAAACAGTATACACTCATAATGACTTCTAGATTACAGGTAGAAAATGAAGATAAATAAAATTATCTCTTCCCGGAGACATGGAACCTTGAATAGTAATCTGCGTTGGCTCCGAGTTTTTGTCTCCGCCTTGCTTGCTAAAAATGAGCAATTCTTTTAAATATATACTCCAAATGATCTTAAAAATAAATTACGAACAAATAATTGTAATGAATACAACATTTAAAAAAAATATATATATTCTCTTCAATCTAGAGGCTAGATTACGGCACCCGCGAGAATGTCGGGCTGGTCCTAACATGTTTACTACTCTATGACAAGATCTTAAGCCACCTTGATTGTGGGCCAATAACCCAGCCAGAGCTATCCCTTAGAATTAAACAAGGTTGTCAATACTAGGCTTTAGGAAAAAGAAGTTTGTAATATATTACCAGCCGCCACATGCGTATCTAGAGAAACAGTTCTTGATCCCGACTTGAAGGCAGTCGGTCCAGTTGTCAGACCACAGCAAAACTTTATAATCCTCTTAAGGGAAGCAGAGGTGTAACTTAGGGGCCATCCCTTCCCTGCCAGGTTTTTTATCAGGACATGTCACTTTTGCATTTAAGAAAAAATCAAAGAAACGCAATCTTTGACACCCTGTTTTGGCATCAAAAACTTAGGATTTTTTTCATTTATTTTAGGGGTCATTGGGAGTACATATTTAAAAATGGGCTATTTAAGTCCAATGAGACCGGAGATAAAAATTTGAGCCGACGGAGGTCACTGTTCAGAGGTTCCAAGTCTCCTAGGCAATTATATAAGTCTACATTCAAAAACAGAACCGGCTGCTATTAATTACAGAGATATTACAAAATGTCTTAATTGCAAGTGCAACGGGTTCTTTACTCTTAGAAAGATATCAAATCTTGAACCTCTTCTGAAAATGTATGGCCTGTACTCTGTATTATCCAGGTGCTGGATAGAACACGAACAAGAAAAAAAGGAATTATGGTGGATGGATTGGATGATCTTCTCATCAAAGCTAAAACTAAATTTGAATATCCAACAAACCAGGGAAATATTTCTCAATGTAAAAGTTAATCCACTATTTTCCATTTTTTAGCAATACAATTAATTACTTTTCCATTTACTGATTTTTTAGTTCTATTCTTGGAAAGTTAATTCACATTGATATAAATGACTGTCTATTATTATTACTATAACATAATTGATTTTACCAAAAAATATGCAGATTTAAAGGTGAGAAAAAGAAATGATATTGTATGATGACCTTTTTAAAACCTTTTTTAACTTATTTTGTTTGGAAAAAAAATAATTTCAAAGAAGATGGGATGATTTTCCAAAAGAAAAACTAAAAGAAAGTTAAATAATAAAAAAAACACTTTCCTATTGATTGAGAGATTGCCGCTAGTCAGTTGAGCTGGTACTAGAAGAAGATGGAACAGAAATAGAGGATGAGGAATGTTAATAATTTATAAATCAAATAGGGAGGGGGGGGGGGAATTTATTGGTTTTGATCAAATTTTATTATTTGGAGTGGTCCCTGAACTACCTTCAGCCGGTTTGAATCCTGAATCACCGATTCAATACTAGTAAATCTTTAACTTTGAACTGGTGACTCAAGATTCGAACCGGCATGGCAGTAGTTAGCAACCTAGCTGAAATTTATTAAATTCAGTCCCTGATCTCTTTAAAGAAAACATTTTAGAGCTCTGTATCTGGATTATAATAATGACAAAATCTCCTGATTTATAATAATAGAAATTAACTCTTGGTTGAGAATTATTTACTTGAGGAAGTTGTCCATACTTTTCATGAAAGGTTTCCAGCTCTAAACCCTGATATTTTGTCATTTTTCCCCCATATATTCATTCATTATCACAACCTTTTAATACAAAAATAATATTCTTAAAATATCTAGAAATGAATATAAACTTCTTATGATCATATTTAAATGGTCTTTTTTAAAGTGGTCATTTTCTTTGAAAATCAATGTAAACAAAAGTATTTAATATTACCATTCAAAACTTCAGGATTATCTATTCTCTCTTCCAGACAACACTTGCCTGATGCTACTTTTTAAAGAAGAAAAGTAAGCAGTTATTTTAACTAAAAAAGGGACTGTTCAGGGGATTTGATAATCAAGCAGAGAACACTAAAAAAAATTAATTATTCTGATAAAACTTAGTTTTATTTTGACTAACCGTGTGGTGCTATGGAACGCCTCAACACGGAATCAGACTCAAAAAAACGGAAACCTCCCCAAAATGAATATTTTTAAGGCGTTTCCTGTTTTTTTCAAAAATTATCGGAAATCCCTAAAATCTAATTTTTAGAGAATTTCCCGGTTTTTTGATCCGTTTCCCCGAATTTTAGGTTGGATTCTGGTTTATACGGGTCTTTCATTTTGAGGGATTTCTCAATATAATATATAAATTACGCTTACAGTCCCTTTAATCTAGCTGTACATTTGTTTGTTTTTTTTTCATTTGAAATTTTGGTAATTAGATGGAGTCCTTTTGGAGTAGGTGATGAGGTTGATTCTGTAAACCCTTCCTCAGCTCTTTTCAATCTACTCCTTAGACTAGGTATTAATCCCTTTTCAATCTACTCCTTAGACTAGGTATTAATCCCTTTTCAATCTACTCCTTAGACTAGGTATTAATCCCTTTTCAATCTACTCCTTAGACTAGGTATTAATCCCTTTTCAATATACTCCTTAGACTAGGTATTAATACATTTATAATATACTCCTTAGACTAGGTATTAATCCCTTTTCAATCTACTACTTAGACTAGGTATTATTCCCTTTTCAATCTACTCCTTAGACTAGGTATTAATCCCTTTTTAATCTACTCCTGAGACTAGGTATAAATCCCTATTCAATCTACTCCTTAGACTAGTATTAATCCATTTTCAATCTACTCCTTTACTCCCTTTTTAACCTTAATTTTAGCGAGTGAAATGTACTATAGACGGTTTTGAAAATTTAATTAAAATATTTGTTTTTTTTTGTGAATTTTAGAAAATAAATACTTAAAAATGTAAGAAAGTCATACTTAAACAGCCAAAGATAATGTTTTAAAAGACACTGCACTTTTTTATCAAGGGTATATATTTTCATGATATTCCACCCTTCCTCTTTCATTCCTATTAAGTTGGGTATTTGGAGAATGGAGATTACATTTCTCTATTTTTTGGTAACATTTTTTTCTATTTCTGTTTTTTTCATTAGCCCAGTTCTTTTCATTTAAATAATCTAGTTTTCTTTTTCAAATTTCTTTTTAGAAAGCTCCCCAGGAAGTATTGCTCTAATGTCTGAACCTGATCTAGAACTTTTGGTAGATATTGATCCAGAACAGCAGGCTGTTCAGCATCCTAGGTACATACAGTGAGAACCAGAAAACTCTGGAATTGGAAGACTACTCTAAAAACAAAGTTATAACTTTTAAAAAGTCAAATGAGCACGAACCACAGCAATTGGACATTGGTAACAGAACCATTTCACTAAATTAGTAGTTTAATAAGTGTCAAGCAAAACTATTAGCTCAGTAACAGCATGAAATGCACTTAAGCATTGCTATAATATCGTCTTCATATTCCAGTGTTATAGGGTGATCACTGTACACAGTTTATTATAAATCAAAAGAGGGTTCAATTCAAATAAGATTGAATTGTCTTCCTCACAAGTTTCCTGGAAAGTCGACTAGAATAGGATAGATAATTCAGTTTGAATTGTCTCGTAAATGAAAGATTTTTTAATGAACAGTATTTCATGTGAACACTCACAACTCAGGAAACTGGAACATTCATATATTAATTAACATGGAGTGAACGATTTTTGGATTGGAAAAAAAAATAATTTAAAATATTTAAGATTGAATAAAAATATTTAAATATATATTTCGTTAATTTAGTTATGTTTAGATTTGATCTGAAATTTCTGAAGGATGTTCAAACAGCAGCAGATAAACATCTACTAGAAAAAGGTTATTTAAAAAAAAAATTTTAATGATAACATCATTTTGATAGACTTGTTTTTATTTATTTATTCAAGAGTAATTATATTCATTGTTAAGATCAGTGTTTCGGATCCATATCATTTTGATTCGGATCCGGATCCGGATCCGCGGATCCGCATCCGTGATGATGTATCCGGATCCGGATCCTGATACGAGGGGGGATATTGTTCATGAAATTTAATTGTTTAAATTGTTCAGGGGAAATACGTGATACTCTGGCTCTCCTGGACATTTACCATAAAACTAAATCTAAAGGTTTGGAGTCAAATCCTTCAAAGACTGAATCGAGCAAGGATAAAAAATCAAATAGAGAAGGTTCCTCTGTTCCCAAGAGACGAAAACATTGATTGAAGAAACCAGACGGAACGAAATCATTGATTGAAGAAACCAGACGGAACGAAATCATTGATTGAAGAAACCAGACTGAACGACTTCATTGATTAAAGAAACCAGACTGAACGAAATCATTGATTAAAGAAACCAGACTGAACGAAATCATTGATTAAAGAAACCAGACGGAACGAAATCATTGATTGAAGAAACCAGACTGAACGAAATCATTGATTAAAGAAACCAGACTGAACGAAATCATTGATTAAAGAAACCAGACTGAACGAAATCATTGATTAAAGAAACCAGACGGAACGAAATCATTGATTGAAGAATATCAAATACTAATGCTTAAATGTTGTTTTATATATGGGTGCAATTCTATTAATTTTTGTTGATTACTTTTATTGTATCGGCAAATCATTTAAAGAAAGCATGAACATGTAACATCCAATGTAAACCATGTTTTTTATTGTAGGAAAGCCTTCATGGATTTCTATTTGGAACAATTGTAACTAATAATTTATAAGTTTAAATATATTTTTTTTCTTTTTATACTTTTGTATCGATTGCACTAATGATTGATCGGATAGACGTATATACGTACTAACGTTCATTCGGACTATAAAGCGAATAAACACTAAATTGTTCAATCAAAATCTGTGTGGAAGGGTGGCCAAAATGTACGGATTTTCAGGATTTTAACCCTAAAATAAAACATACGTTGTTTCGTTATTTTTTTCGGTTCGTCAAATTGGTCTTATTAAACTCATTTTCTTTGTTCCGAATTATATTAGGTTGAGTGTTTTTAACTGACAATCAAAATAATTTTAAAATATGTTCCAAGAGTGTTTATTCGTTAATCTTTTCCACAAGTGTTCTTTCGAGAATGTGTTCCACAAAAAAACGTTGTGTAGGCGTATTTGGTTCTGAGGGAACAATTTTCGCTCAATTGCATTTAGAGGTTACTGGAAAACTCTAAATTTCTGCTTTAGTTAGATGTAACTTTTTTCTTTCTAGTTCTCATACTTTTTTTTGTTGCAACCACTTCTTTAAGCAAAAGTCACAGATCTAAAAATCTAGAAAAATTGAATTTTTGGCCCAGATTGGTTATATTAAATATTTTTGATGAAAACCCGAGCTGTTAAATGTACCGATTGATTAAAAAGAAATAGCATCATTTTTTTTCCAGTGGGCTATAGTTCGCATTGGCCATGTCTGTACCATGGCATTATTTTATTTATTATTTAAATTATAATTTTATAATAAGATTGCTCCCTCTATCTCGGAAGAAAACTTGAGAACATCGGGCAATCTCTGTATCACTTGTCTAAAATAATTTATTGGAATATAAAGATGCAACCCAGAAAGTAAAATGTATACCTTAAAATAACTGAAATAAAAAGCTTTCCAAAGACACCTTAATAGAAGGGTTTCCATCGAAAAGGGAAATCTTTTCGCGAAAATTTTGAATTTTTCGCGAAAATAAAGTTTTTCGCCAACAATTTCGCATTTGTTCGCAATTCGTTCGCTCGTAAAAAAGTGCGAAAATTTTCGTTTTTGCCAAATTTCGCCTTATCCTGTTCTGCAAAAAAATGCAAAATATTCGCGCGGAATAAGGAATGCGAAAATCATTCTCAAAACTTAAGAATTATGTTCATTATGGACGGAATGGGATTAGGGATTCCCTTACTTTTTACATATTCTTGCTTTCTTTTTGTTATAATGCAGTCCCTTCCAAAATATGAATTTTTTAGAATTTTTAATTTAAAATTCAAAATTCAGATACGTCTAAATGGATAAATTAACATAAAATAATATTAAGAATTTGACTTGCTGTATTATATACACGTCCCAATAAACATGAAAATTTAGAAGTAGTCATATCATATACGTGTACATGCTTTAAGCGTTCCGAAATGTGTTCTGCCTTCGTTGTATGTTTACAATTGAAAATCAATATTGGAAGCACTAGCTAATAGTTAAAGAATGTGCAAAATATTTAACTTAAATCATCCTAACTTTAAATCTTTAAGAATTTTAAGTTCAAGGATTACATAATTTTATACAGTGGGCCATTAATTATTGTTAAATAATGAATTTTATCCCATTATATACTTTCCATTCGCTGATATTTAATTTTTCCTACCGGGTAACTATGTATCTATATTTGTGTTTGGACTCAGGAGAAAAAGTTTGGCGGAATTTTCCTCCGTATTTGTAATCATTTCCAAATCTCTATATGTATATATATACTTTGCTTTTCTGTTTGTATCCAATAAACGGCTGAACCGATCGGGCCCAAATATTTTGTGGGACCTCATGTGACCTCAGTAAAGGTTTATATATGATCGAGTTTTCAAAACTTTGTTTCTAACAAAACTCGATTTTAGAAAATATATGTTCACAATTGAAATAGAAGATGAGCGCGAAGCGTCCAAAAAGCCTATGTAACTTATATTTCTAATACTTCATACTTTTTTACTTTTTATTCATGAATTTTTACATAAATTATTAACAACACAAAAAGAACACTAGATTTCGTCTTTTCATGATTATATATATCTATGTTTTCCCATATATATCTATGTATTCCTATATATATCTATGTATTCCCATATATATCTAATCTATGTATTCCCATATATATCTATGTATTCCCATATATATCTATGTATTCCTATATATATCTATGTATTCCTATATATATCTATGTATTCCCATATATATCTATGTATTCCTATATATATTCTATGTATTCCTATATATATCTATGTATTCCTATATATATCTATGTATTCCTATATATATCTATGTATTCCTATACATATCTATGTATTCCTATATATATCTATGTATTCCTATATACATCTAATAAATTACGAGACAACTTTGCTGCATTATTTATAGCTTCACATAATCCTGTAGCATTCATCACTACTGGCAGCATGATTCTGACAATGAATTGAGTATAGCAATTAGGTTACATTCCTGTGGTGAGTCTAGAGTATTAAGTCTTGTATCTAGATTGTCTCTATAATTTACTTGCTACTCTTCTCCTGCTAGGTTTTGTTGTACTGAGTCCAAAACTAAAGAACGAAAAGTTTTGACTTAAATTTTAAGTTCATGGTTAAATGCCACTTCTGACTTAATTTAAACCTGAACTTGAACCGTAAGGTTAAATATTTAACCCTGTGGTTAAATATTTAACTCGCCGAAATCGACGAGTTAAAATTTAAACACAGGTTTAAATTATCTTGAAATACTGCGTTTTCCCTATTTGTCTATATAATTCAATCATCATTCAGCTGCAGCTGAGAAAACGGCATTCAACTTAACGATATATTTAGAAATGAAAACCTAGTTAAAGAAATTTCACGTTTTAGATAAATTAATTTCTGGATGTAAACCCAAAAAACGGTTGTATGTTTTGTTTTCAGTTACGTAAGAACAGCTGATTAGCGATGGTTATGTAATATTCTCCATAAATCCTTTTCTCTGATTGGTTCAGATTTTCCCGGGAAATTCAAATTTAAAATTGAGAAAGTTTAATATTTAAATAGCTATTCATTATTTTACAGAACTTTTAACCTCGAACTTAAAATTCGCGCATTCTTTAGTTTTAGACTCTGGTTAACCTCTCTACTTCCAAATTAAGCTGATCCATATAAAATTTACAGAATATAGGAAGATGACCAGACATGTTATCTGGATGAATTATCACACCAGCTTTGGTAACTGAACTATAAAATCTTTACTGAGGAAATGATCAATAGTGGATGTGTGAGTTATATTGTTCACTATATTTCTGAATGTTTAACTTACTTCTTCAATTCGATCATTATCTGACAGATTTCAGAAAATATTTAAGCCTTTCTCCTCTGCAAATGTTCTAATACTTTGCACAAAATGTGTAGGTCAAGAAAATTTACAATTTATGTCCCCGACTAGAACATTTTTACATTCTGTTGTAGACAATATGCTGTCTATTTTACCCAGGAGAGATAGCAGTTCCAGATCATTCATATTATTTTTGGGAATCCACCATAAAGTATAATTGTGAGTCCTTTCTTCCACATTGTAGCAAGACCCCCTTTACCTCGTCCAGGCTTGACCACTGTATCCTCTTTGAATGCAAGCACGATGTACATATCATTAGTTTCTCCAAAATATTTCTTTAGTTTGTTAGTATTGCTGAGTTTCCGGTCCCCAGAATTCAAAAGAAAGTGTTCTTGAATGCATAAAATGTCTGAGAACAAAGATAGCAAACTTATAAAGTTCTATTTATTAATTCCCATACCCCCACTAGTATAGCTAGTTAAGCACAAAGTACTAGCTGCATCCATCATTGAACTGCTGTTGCACCACCAATAGCAGTCCAGGGGCGTATTCAGGAATTTGTCCAGGGGGATGCTTAAATTTTTTCTCTTTCCAGGGGGGGGGGGCTAAGCACCGGTTTGGGCCTGAAATCAATAGATTTCACTGGTCCAAGGGGGGAGGCTTAGCCCCATAGCCGCCCCTGAATACGTCTCTCAGTAGCACTGTTCTTCTCTACACTTGTGTTTCCATTTTTATCAGAATACCGCTTCCGATAATGGATAAATTCACGGACACGAACTCGCAAGGGCCATACAGTGACAATTACATATCTTGCATTTAAACCTCAGTTGCAGTTAAACCTTAGAAAAATGTCATTTTGTCAAAGTTTTGCAATTTTTTTATAGATAAGCAGGAACTGTAAATTCATACTTAAGTTATAAATCATATCATTTTAAATTGTACAGTTATCTGACCATTTCTAAAATAGGACAAAAAAGGAAAAATTGAAAAATAGAAAAATTCGCATTTTGCACTTTATTTTGCACAAATTAAAAATATTTCACACACAGACATGTTACACATTTTTAAAAAGTATATTTGACCTGACAATTTCAAAATGATGAAATATTTTCAACTTAAGAAATATTTTTTGCAAAGTGTTGCAAAAACTGTGCAAAAAGTTTGCACAAGCTATTTGCTTTCTTTCTTTCGAGTTATGATATCCATAAATGTAGTTCAATGAAAAAATAGGTGTTGCGCAAAAAATATCATTGCAAAACTGCGCAAAATTATTGCAAAACTGATTGAAACTGATATGGTTAATATTTTCGAATCAGCAGCTTTCCAAAAACATATAATTTTCTATTGTTGAATGAATAAAAAACTTTTAGTTGTAATTCATATTTTGTTGCAAATTTTTTTCAGAATGTTTGCAAAAAGAGGAAAAATATTAGTATTACGGATATTATTGTCTCTTTACTTTCAGCTTTCTTAAAAGCTATTGATCATTAAAATTGGAAAATTTTTAGTCGAATCAAAAGCAAATTTAATGTACAGGAGGTAAAACAGGCCTATTTCAAGGAGTACACCTGGACCTGCAGCAGGCAGTCATAAAATATTCCAATTTTGCATAATCTGTCTTCCGACGCGAACCCCAATAATTCCACCCCTCCCCTCTGCAGCGCCTGCTTCACCTGCTCACACCTCTGCATTCTGATTTCTGATGCGTAGAATAGGAGCATAGAATATAAGGGAGATTGAAACGACCCGGCCCGCCCTACCTCCATTTGAAAAAGAGTTTATAAGTTTGTCTTTTTTTTATATTACAAAAAATATGCTGCAGTATTGCTAATATTTTTGCATCCTAAAAAATGTGTTTGTTTGCCTAGTCTAGTTTTTTCCCTGTTTAATGTATATAACCTATTCTGAATACATGTACGCGGTATTTGTAAATCCAGCCAAATATTTCTATTCAAATGAAGTACTGTCTGCAAAGCATTGTATAATCATATGGTAGGGCGGGACGGGTCGACTGCATCTCCCTTATATTCCATGCTCCTTGGAACTAAACAGTAAACCCGGTCAGAAACTTTACCATAGAGTAATAAAACGAAGAGGTGAAGCTTAGCTCAGATGTACACAGCCAACCTCCCTATTAATTAAATATTAGAGTGGTCGGTTGTGTACATCACGATATGTTTACGTATCTTTCTTTATTTAAAAAGAATTTGATGATGTTGACTGCAAACATTTGACAATTTTCAAATTTCTAGGTTTTCAATTTATTAGCAAAAAGTTATGTCAAAAATATTAAGTTTCTAGGGCATGAATTTAACTGAAAACATTCTTATTTCAAACATTCTTCTTGTTTCTTCTCTTCAACTCTTTATCATAAACCATGGTATATAGGGTTACCCACAAAGATGAAACAACGATGACAACGAGTGTTAACGAAACGACGAATTTTATGAAAACGATCGTTTTGAAAAACGAGCGTTTTGAAAAACGATCGTTTTAAAAACGACCATTTAAAAAAACGAACCTTTAAAAAAACGATCGTTTTAAAAACGAACCTTTAAAAACGATCGTTTTAAAAACGATCGTTTCGTTTTCGATTTTTCGTCGTCGTTTTCATAGCGAAACGATCGTTTTTCTCAAAAATGAAAACGTTATCATCCCTAGGTGTATACAACCGACCACTCTATTAATTAATTATTAGGGAGGTCGGTTGTGTACATCTAAGCTAAGCTTCACCTCTTCGTTTTATTACTCTATGAACTTTACTATCTGGCTTTTTCTGTGTTTCCCCGCAGTATTTCTTTACTACGCATAGGTCCCCCTAGGTATGTTTTCTTGGAATAGAAGGGCCTGAGGCTATACCGCTCGCACCCGGTTTATAAAACCTTAAAGGATAGACTGCTTTCCCGCAGTTCAATGTAACCTTGCTATTCAACTTTCATATGCGACCATGGTGCATCATCCATATAGTGCATCAGCAACGTGCACAACCTTATTATGTGTCCTCATTGTGCGTTTTCATTGGGCGTCCTCATTGTGTGTCCAAATTTTACGTCCTTAACGTGAAACCTCATTGTGTGTCCTCATAGAATGTTCTCATTACAAAAAGAAAGTGATAAAATCCACAGCAAGCCAAAATATTTAAAATACTGTAACTATGACTACGTGGGCAACGCTGGACATTTATGTTTTCAAAAAACATGGACTTGAGTAAGGATTAAAAGATCGTATTTCATGAAAAAAGATGGATGCATATTTTGCAGAAACAAATGAAAATGATAAAAATGACATCATTTATTATAATTTTGTCCAGGTAAACTTTATGATAACGTTTCAATAATATATGGAATATTGAAATTGAAATACTAATTTACTCATAACTAGATAATGGTCAATCTTTAAACTTGTTATAGTTTTATAAACACGTTTCTTTTCCCCTCAAAGATTGATTCGCTCAAAAACTTAAATTAAATGTAACTCTAAATTTTTAAAAACATTTATTGATGATTCAATATTACATTGACGTACAGTCCCTTTATACATTATTCTCTTTAGTTTGGTTTTTGGGACAGTTCTGGGACAGGATGGTAAATTCTCAGGGGGTGAATCAGTATCATCAGCTTCATCTTCGGTAAGATCATGCAGCTTCAGGAAAAGTGAAACTGTAGGATCAAATTCAAGAACGGTGGAACAGTATGATTAGATTCAGGAACAAAGGATCAGATTCAGGAACTTGGGGATCAGCTTCAGGAACGGTGGGATCAACTTCAGCAACGAAGTATCAGATTCAGGAACGGTGGGATCAGCTTCAGGAAGGGAAGGATCAGATTCAGGAGTGGTAGGATCAGATTCAGGAACGGTAGGATCAGATTCAGTAACGGCAGGATCAGATTCAGAAAGGGTAGGATCAGATTTAGTAACGGCAAGATCAGATTCAGGAACAATATGATCAGCTTTTGAAATGGTATGGATCATCTTCAGAAATGGTAGGATCAGCTCCAGAAATGGTAGGATCAGTTGCTTAGAAAATTACATTCACATACCAATGAAATTATGAAATAGGGCTTTAGCAGAATTTTAAAAAGTTCTGTGTGCAAAAGTTTGCGAAATTTGTATTTAAAATTGTGGGCAAAATTTAAAGTTTGTTTTCATTAAATCTTTTATTTATGGCTACAACACTCTACCTTTTGTATAATTAATCAGTAAATGTGTAGGTGGTAGAGGGTTACACCCATAGATTAATGAAAATAACAGATAGGATGCACTAGATGTCGTCTTTTAAGATTCCTGTGTTTTACGTTCACAATAACCCCGGAGGCAGCAGCCCAAAGGAGTTACGTGTAGTCAGTGTAGAACAAGCATGTCTTTGTTCTAAGTTGTTTTGCTGTTTTTTAAGAACGATCGTTTAAAAAAAATGTTGCTAATAAATCTGAGTTTTGTGACTATTAGTTAAAAATAATTCAGAAAGATAAGGTTATGAATGTTATCCTATATGTTTTTTTATCGAAACAAATAATCTGCAAGTTTTCTGACCTTGGATTTTCCGACCAACTGATGTATTTTCTCTTTAAATGTTGTTAACAAAGGGTCATCGTTAATGGTCGTTAACAGAGGGTATTTTCAAAAACGACAGTTTGTAAAAAATAAAAATAACGATTGTTTTTGAAAACGATTTTTTTTAAAACAAAAAACGAACAATTTTAAAAAGCGATCGTTTCGTTTTTTTCTTCGTCGTTTTCAAAAAGAAACAATCGTTTTTTAAAAAAGTGGAAACGATCTGCATCCCTAACTTTGTCGCAGAGCTTTTAGACAGAGTGACAGATCTTTTAGGCTGGTACGGTTATAAATCGGGCATTGCCATCTTTGCATGGAGGGTCACTTGAAATTACGCTTTCAGTCCCTTTAACAGTTTTTATATTTCAAGTCTGCGAGCACTAGTTCTGATGGTGGAGGAATCAGCAGGGAGAATAATTTATAATTTATAATTTAAGTTTATACAAGGTGTTCCACTAAACTTGATTTAATTTTAAACAGAGTGTTTCATTAAACATGATTTAATTTATACAGGGTGTTTCACTAAACTTGATTTAATTTCATACAGAGTGTTTCATTAAACATGATTTAATTTATACAGGGTGTTCCACTAAACTTGATTTTATTTTATACTGGGAGTTTCATTAAACATGATTTGATTTTATACAGGGCGTCCCACTTAACTAAATTTAATTTTATACAGGGTGTTGTACACAACTTGATTTAATTTTATACATCGTGGTTCAATAGACTGGTTTATTTTTATACAGGGTGTTCGCCTGAACATTATTTAACTTTATACAGGGTGGTTCATTAAACTGGACAATTTAGACACAATATTCAGATCGTCATATCTCTCTTATGGAAATGAGAAACTAAGAATGACGGCAAAACACATTTGGTTTATTAATAATTGGAAATTTTAGGAACTTTGAATGAACATTTCAAAAACCAGACCACATCTTAGAAATGCCTATGGAAAGGGTACTTAACAGTTAATGTTTATGAATGTCCGATTCACAATTCGGTGCCCGTAAGACTTTTATCAAATCAAAAGTGTGGAAGAGAATGTCGTTTTCTAGATTTTAAAGTGAATAATTCTGATGATTCCATTATAAATACCTGTATTAGATATGAGCATTGCGCGATTTCACTTTTAAAGAAACTTCAATCATACTTATTTGATCATAGCTTTTAAGTGTCCCGTGGTGAATCGGGCAATGCCATCTTTACATGGTGCACGGGTCGCTAGCAATTATGCTTGCAGTTCCTAAAAATGTTTATTTTTTTCGTATTCGCTATTTTCAACCTTTCTGTTGTATTTTTAATATTTCAGTGTAAGATCTCTTACGCTATTTTTGACGAATCAAATTATGACTGAATTAAAATTCCGATACAGACTGATCTAGTTTTTTGAAATTAGTGCAGTATATGATTATCGGAACCCTTTGTATAAAAATCTCTAAATTTTAACTGATTGTAAAAATAAAAAATAAAAATGAAAAATTTTCCGAGAGCAGTCGTTCATTTGATTCTGGTTCATCTGATTCTGGTTCATCATCTAACAGTTTTTCATCGGATTTTGGTTCATCATCTGATTCTGGTTCATCAGGTACAAAAAGGAATGAAATATAATGTTGCAGGGTGTCTCACAATACATGATAGTTGAGATACGATATGAAAGTAGTCTTTTATCTTATCATATGTACATATAAAAGTAGGTTGACCAATAAATGACACAAATTATTTCAAAGATCTAAGACAATCTTGAAGCCTTCTCTCAACTCTCATGTTTTGTGAGTCACCCTGCATTCAATTTGAGACTTACAAAAATATTTTTGTTTTATATAAAAGGTAGTTTATGAATTTAGAACATTTAACATTAGAATTATAGGATGACAGGTTCGTCCATTCAACATTACAATTATAGGATGACAGGGTGGTCCATTCAACATCACAATTATAGGATGACAGGGTGGTCCATTTAACATCACAATTATAGGATGACAGGGTGGTCCATTTAACCTTAGGATGACAGGGTGGTCCATTTCACATCACTATTATAGGATGATAGGGTGCACGTCAATTCAACATCACAATTATAGGATGACAGGGTGGTCCATTAAACATCACTATTATTGGATGATAGGGTGGTCAATTCAACATCACAATTATAGGACGACAGGGTGGTCCATTCAACATCACAATTATCAAATTAAATTATTAAATAACGAAGACAAAACATGTAAAAGAAATCAACAATAAACTGATGGCTTAAAAAGAAAAAACCGGTTCGCGCAACTCACACAAGAGCTTGTCTTCTTCATACATATGTATTTTGAATTGAGGATTTACTTAAAACAAACTTTTAAAAAATGAGGGTAAATTGAAAAGTATTGCTTCTATTTCTTATCCACTTGTTTCTATTTTTGGCACCAGTTTATTGAATATTTTTTTAAATCATTTTTTTTGCCGTTGTTATTCAATAATTATAAGAAAAAAACAATACTCAAAACGTATCCACCCAAATAGAAGATTTTCAAAGTCGACTTTGCACACAAACTCAGTAATTGTACGTCGTAGAAACGTTTCAAATGTTTTAAATGAATCCTAAAGAATTTTTCAATAATACTACATATACTTAGTTCAACCACCATACATTGCCGGTCACTCCCTTTAAAAATATATTTACCCTACTAAAATCACAGTTTCTTTTACCTCTAGGTGTTTTAAATGATCCTCTATGTAAAATTGGCTATCTTCGATTTACAATGGTTCGTTTATTAGGTTTTCACATGTTATTTCTCTACAAAATATACCTATGCATTTCTACTGCGGAAAATATATTGTAATTATTAGAATTAAATACTTTTAGACCTAGAAAAATTTAACTATTTTCCTACATTATTGATCAGATATGTTCTGTTGTGAATCGAGGGTCACTAGAAATTAATCTTGCAGTCCGTTTTAAGAATGCAAATGTTTAGGTGGGAGTAGTGGACCTGGTTTATTTGGCTTGATTGCGTAAGTATTTAACTCTAACACGATAGAAAAAGAACAGGGGGAGGGGGTTTCGGTCACCCCTGTTATTTTTCTTTATAGCTCAAAACGGACGGCTTGCAATATTAAAAAAATGGAAGCTGTAGAACGCTGTAGCATTTTAAGTTTTTCCACTCCATTGAGTCCATTGTTGTGAACAAAAGTAAAGTCTATTTTTAAACAGATGGAATAGGAACATGTATCACAACACCCCCCCCCCCTTTTCTCCCACACCTGTATTAGCCCATCCAAGATATAAGTGCTGATAAAACACATAAAACCGTGCAAACAGGTAGACATTACTTTTGTTAGCTAACTTATTGGCCTTAAATCAACCAATTTAAAGAGCTCTGAAAAATGAAAACATCTGAAAGAATCAGTTTTAATTTTCCAATATATGATGTTTTAACATTTCTGTAAACTAATGCTTACATTAAGGGATATCCATTAAGGATGAGACATTGATGACGAATTAAAACTCAGAAGATTTTTAGATTCTTCAAGGATAGTGCTCACACTTTTAAAGAAACTAAAATCCAAGAAATAAGTTATTTTTGTAAAATCGTCTCATTGTAATCTCATTCTTTGTGGGTAACTCTGTATTACTTCAGAGCTCTATTGGGAGGAGGTCGGCCTGCTCCTCCTGCCCCCAGGTTTAATCCCAGAGGAAGAGCACAAGCAAGGTCAGTCAGAAAAGTTTTTAAAAATTCGAATATACGCAATCAAAAATTCTTTACTAACACGGTCGATTTGAACATTAGCGCATATGGACAAAAAAAGTTCTTTCTTAATTTCAACGCCTAAACCATCCTTGTTCAGTTTATCCTCTCCATCCTTCCTTGTTTAGTTTTCCTCTCAATTTATCATTACTTGGGTTTCTCTTTAATCCGTCTTTGCGTAGTTTCTCCTCTCAATCTGTCATTGTTTCTCAGTTTCAGTTTCTCAGCAAGGATGATTTGAAAATAGAAATTAGGCAAGTACAGATTGGAAAGAGAAACTGAGTAAGAATGGATGTGGAGGAGAAAAAGAGTATTTACTGGTCGAGAGGAGACTTTGAGCAAGGATGGATGAGAAGAGAAACTGCTCAAGGATTGATTGAGAGAATTAACTGAGACAGGATTGAGAGGAAAAACCAAGCTGTAAACAAGGATTAATTGAGAGGAGAAACTTAACAAGGACAGATTGAGAGGAAAACTAACAGGGACACATTGAGAGGAAAACTTATCACGGACAGATTGAGAGGAAAAATTGAGTAAGGATGGATTACGAGCAAATTAGAGGATAAACTGGGCAAGGATGAGTTAGAAAGAGAACCTGAGAAAGAACATATTTAGAAAACAATGAATTTAAATTTTGATCATATGCACGAATGTTTAAATCGACTGTAAATAGCTCACTTTATAGTTGAACATTATAGATCAAACGGAATATGAGTTGGATCTATATAAAAAGATTCACAATTTTGATTATTAAACTCTTTTACTACAAGAAGGAGGCCCTCATAAGCCCCCTTTATAACTCAAATTTATATGCTATAGGGCACAATGATACGACTTTAAAATGAGTTTTGGTATTGAAACGACCAAAATAGTCTATTCATGTAGTCATTTTGCAAATTTTTTTGCAAATTTTTTGCAAGGACGAGTTTTTTTGGATTTGCACACCTAGTCTATGCCAAAGCACTAGTGTTGAGGATTTTTCAACACAAGAGTTTCCAGCTTTATTATTATTTAGTCTATGGTTTAAGTAAATAAAAAGAACTCCAGAGTAACATTATAATTCATCTGAAAAACTAAAAGATCATGTACAATTCCATATTTAGAATTAATAGTTCTCGCTAACTGCAGTATCCATTTAAATCAAATAGATTATCCAGTACAATAGGTGGCAAAAGAGAAATGGATAAATTATACACGACGTCACAAGTGTCAAATATAACAAAGAAAACGAAATTTTCTCACATTAGTTGACATGTTTTCCAAGATTAAGTAAAAAGTGTAAAAACAGAAAATAAAGAACATATAAAATTGTACTTATTATACTATAAGATAATCACTTTATTCTAAAATTAACACTACTATTAATAATTTTGTCGGACACAAAAACTAAGTTGACACTTGTGACGTCAGAATTTTTGTCGTATTGGCTTTAAACTTTTGTTCATAATTACTGTTTGTTTGAGCAGTAAATACATTTTGTTAACTTTTGATAAATTTTTATTCAAACTAATATAGTTGGTCAACTTTTGGCGTGCTGGGGGAAGGGGGGCTGGAATCCTGTGGGCCCCCATAATATGCCACCCAGGCCCCTATATAGACATACCCCACCTTGCCACTTGGCCTAATATATTTAACTCTTTCCCTATATCAACTGAAAATTTGTCCATTTTATGATAAATTCTCAAATTCTTTCAATTAAACTTTTTTAAATTTTTTTCTTAATGCAGGTTAATATTTACACATGTATTTTTATTTTAAAATTACTTTTATCTGAAAGGGAAATGAAATGAAAATGGAAGTATTTTTGCTATTTAATTTTATCAAAAAAATCTTTTTTTAAATAAAATGCCAAGCAAGTTAAAAAAGTTTAAATATTTTGTTTTTGTTTCCTGAGCTAAAATTTTTGTTTCCTTGACTAAAGTTTTTGTTTCCTGGGCTGAATTTTTGATTTGTTTTTTGAATAAAGGAACTGAATTTTTGCCAAAAACTCAAATTTTCTAATTCCTATATCTTTGCAATTTGAAGGTGTAAACCATTGATATTTCTAACTTAAACTATTTGATCAAACAATACCTAAGGTCAACGACATCGGGTTGAAAATATATAGGAAATAGAGTTTGTGCCAAGAAATCATTTCTTTTGCATAAAAACCATAGATAAATAATTAGACATAGATAGCTTATGTACACAAAATCACCAAGAATTGTACAGTCCGCGAACTCATACTTCTAGGGGTCAAAGTGTACTTTAATGATAAGTGGGGTGGTTTGGTGTTTTAATAGATTGTAAAATAAATCCTGGAATGGAACTATTTGAACAACAATATTTCACTGAGCAATATATCATATTGACGAGAACTGAATAAGGACATGAGAAGGACTAAACTAACTTAAATTTCTCTCTACAGAACTTATGTACACCACAAGTACTCAATGACATAAGAACAGCCAATGTTCACAACCAACCTAGTTAATCTATATAATAGGAATATCTTTAAAACATCTCTGTACATTTATATCTTTCAAGATGAAAAATGTCGTCTTATGCGAATCTATCTTTATCTATGATAAAAACTCTGTAAATCGGTTCTGGAATCAACACTGGTAAATCTGGTTTTAAAGAAATATTTGTTTAGAGTTGGTTCACGTGGTGCCAGATATACTTACCAGAGAAGATTTAGACAGGTGCTACAGTTCCACTCATGATTCGTTTTCAAGAATTTAAACGTCGTCTTTGATCTTTGAAATAGTTTGCGGCATTTATTCGTAAACCTAATTTAAGTAGTATAATTCTGGCGTGGTTCCTAGCTTGGCGGAGGGGGGGATAGATAAAACTCCTAAGAATGCGCGAATACCGGATAATATTTCTTTAATTCTCTCTCTCTATGACAGCTTGCCATGACAGCTTGTTTCTATAGATAGTACGGGTTAAGGATGGATGTTGAAAAGGATGGATACGAATGTTATTAATTTGATATAAGTTGGGTTTGATTGTTTATCTG